ACAATATGTTTCATTTTCCATCTTCTCATAACATGACCAAAAAATGATGGCTGTCTCTTTCTGATGTTTATGACAAGTTGTCTTCGAGCACTCACTTTTTTTCAAAACATCTGGGTAGCTCTTCTTAGCTGTTCACGGAATTCTAAGGATTCTTCTGTACAAATACATCTCCGAGGCCTCAAAAAAATTGTTCGGCTTGTTTTTTAAACTGCCCAGGATTTGTTAAAGCTGTCTCTATATAGCATGCGAGAATTCTTTTCCCAACCTCCAATGACATGGATGTATTGCACAAAATGTTCTTTATTTAATAAAAGGCAGTTTTGGCTACTGTCATCATCATCATAAGTTTCCACTTCTGCAGTTAAGCGTTGTGGGGAGGAACAGTTTGCAATCCATTGCTTGATTTGCAGCAATGGATATCGTCCTTCCATGTCGATGTCGAAGCTCTTTAATGTCATCAATTCATTTGCTCCTAGGATGGCCTCTTGCTTCAGACCCTTTCACGTGTAGAGCCTGCATTGGTATCTGGCCTCCTGCATCATGTATTATTTCGTATAATTGTGCCAGCCACACTGTACTACCCGTAGTTGAACATTTGTAGTTTCAGATGTCAACACAGAGCAGCAGCTGCCAGCCACCACCAGGTCAGTGTTGCCACTTTGGATCTTTTATATCCAAATTTAGATCTTTTTCATTGCATTTAGATACTGTTTTTGACGTTTAGATCGTAAATATCTTTCTAGAAACTATTCATATGGAGTTAGATATTTTATAGATTTTTTTTTTCTTTCATTGTCAATTTAATAATTACTGTGTAAAATATTTACTACAATATTTTGGTTTTGGTCTGGCACGTACATTGTGACAACTGCCATTACTTGAACTTTGAACTCTCACTGGGGTCAACGCACAAATATCTGGCAGCCCCGGTACTGATTAATAAAAACGCGCGTAAATCATACTAACTTTTTATATTCCTTACGTCCTTCTTAGGACGTTATTTTTTGTTATTTGAAGCCCCACTCTGGCTTTTGCCAGGGGCCGCAATATAGGCAGGTCATCATTATGGCCAAATGTCTGAACGCGGTTTCTGGGACCTCTCCACAGTGATCCTCATCCGCATGGTGGCACTTTGTGTCATCGGGTGTTTATCGCTTGTGTGATGTCCTGGTGGGGTAAAAAAGCCAAGCCATACTAACTTTGTTTCAACCGTATCCTCACTGTGCTGACTTTGCCTTTCTTTTTCATGTGATTTAAAAAAAAATAATTGCTCACCTTCTTATGTGACTTTCACTTTGAAAAAACCTTTCAACATGCCAAAAGTAAAGTATGAGCAAAAAATTTGGAAAGAAAGGTTGCTTGATGACAAAATTAAAAACTGGGGATATGACCAAAGCTTGTTGTAAGTACTGCAAGTGTGAAATTAAAGCGAAAATACAAAACTCAAAGAGTCATGCAGAGACTAAAAAAGCATAAAACTGCAGTTTCATTTAAAGATATTATACCGCTGACATCTGTTTTCGGAACTATACTGACAAATGAATCATCAAAAGTTGAAGTATCAGTCGCAATGTTTTTAATTTGTCACTGCGCAATTTCAAACTGTGACCATTTGATCAATTTGTTAAAGATCTTGGACTAGTTCAATTTGAAAAGTGTGGTGTAGAAAGTATAGTTTAGGAACTGAAGAGACCTTTTAATCAGCAAACAGTTAGGCTTGAAGAATTTGGCTGTAATTGGTACTGATAATGCCTCAGTAATGGTTGTTATAAACAATGGCGTTTATGCCAAGTTGAAGGAAGCTAACCCATCGTTAATACTTATAAAATGTATGCGTCATTCATTGCAGCTAGCATTATCACATGCTTCATCTAAATATTTACCAAGGTATTTGGAATACCTTATTGCTGAAATACTTTACTGGTTTTCCAAATCATTTGTCAGACAACAGCAATACAATACATTATATACAGCCTTGAATGATGGTTCCACACCACCGAAAATTCTGTCAGATTGCAAAACTAGATGGTTATCAATTTAACCAGCTGTTGAAAGAATTATGAAGCAATGGCTGAAGTTGAAGACACACTTTGAAATAATAAGACAAAGTGAAAAGTGCTACACAGCTGAAATACTATATGCAATGTACAGTGATGAAAAAAATTTGTCATTTATTCTCTTTTTATAACCTATTCTAATGGAAGTGCAAAAAGTTAATAAACTGTTCGAATCTAAACTTGTTGATAAAGTTAAATTACTTGATGATCTCACCTTGCTATTTCACTCGGTAAAAGACTGGTGTTGCCAACTTCTAAAGCTGATTTGCTCACTTGCACTATAGAGAGCTTTTTGGCCCCTAAGCCACACCTTGGATATTAAATCGATGATTTAAAAACAAAAGGACTGTTAACAGAGAATGAAGAGAACAACTTAAGAAAACGCTGTCAAGATTTCCTTATCTCATTATTGAAGCAACTGAAGCAGACTTCCTGAAAATCTAGATGTTTTGAAAAATATTTCCCATTTTTCTGTGAGCAACATACTTCAGCCAATAAAGGACATACCTAAATATTGTAAAGTTATGAAATTTTTAGGGGCTACTGATAATAGTGTCGCGGAAGCAGAATATCAGTTAACCAAAATAAAGTTAGCTGAATGGACAAACAAAACAGAAACTAAAGCGTTTTGGAGTGAAGTGAGACAATTTAAAGATGCCTCATCAAACAGTCCATTCTGTAAGCTCTTTAAAGTGCCATGATTCTACCCCACTCAAACGCTGACGTAGAAAGAGTTTTCAGTGCTAGGAATTATTTCAAATCTAACCTACAAAACAGGATGAAATTTGACCTCTTAAATGCTATCGTGCCATTAAAATTCGGCCTGATGAGACTAGAGAAATTAGCCTACTGTTCCACTTATACAGAAATTTGAACAGCTAAAGCATACCAGGGTCATTTTGGATCTGAAGCTTCAACTACATTATCCAAGCTAAGTTTATCCTATAGATCTTGTGAGGCAGACATCAGTGAAGATGAGGACATGATTATGTAGGATGTCATAACAAAAGCTATGTGATTTTTGACTTTTTCAATTTGGATATTTTTTCTAGATCTTTTCCTCGCAGATTTAGAATTTTTTAGATATTTGTTGACACCGTTTTGGATATTTTTAGTCAAAGAAAAGTGGCAACACTGCACCAGGTCCACTTCCGGTGCGTCGACTGTGAAAATGGCGGCGGCGTATCCTAGCCAGGAACATCGCCCGATAAAGAAGTCGCGGCTGGGACCCCCAGACGTCTACCCTCAGGATCCTAAACAAAAAGAGGTTTACAATTGTTTATTCGTCATGTCTCTTATTAAAGTGCGTGTTTATTGTACAGTGCAACGAAATTTAAAAAGCGCACTTGCTAACGTAAGCTTTACTATCGCGGCATCCTTTTGTTGACACTTTGTACTTTGATCCTTTTTTTTTAAAGTTCATTTCTTTCAGCCGCAGACTTGTTAATTATAATTTAATTTAACACTCTCTATCTTACACTCTTTGAACAATTTTCAGTTGTATGATACGAGACCCTCACCAAATTAGGCCACGACAAGGGCAGTACTAATACTTTGCTTGTAGCTGTAAACCGTTAATGTTGCTAATTAACAGCTGAAGTTCAAGTTGGCGGGGGTATCTGTGTTGCCGTTGGCATTCATTTCAGGTCAGGTCGCTGAGATGTAGGTAAGACTTTTAAGAAAAAGCCTGCTGGGAAAACCAATGATCAGAATAATCTGTGTAGCGTTCAGTATCCATCTAGGCCTTAACAGATTAAAACAATACAAACATGAGATACATCATATAGCTACTTCAGTCAAATTTTTAAAATGCCCTCTACACCAATAAAACCAGCACAGTTAGATAGCTGTAAACAATCTCTTTCCAATGGTACCTCATTTAGGCTTGTATGTCATTTCTGAGCTGAGATATGTAGGTTTTTGTGGAGATGAGATGTAAGAAACAGCCGCTAAAACTTGCGTCCCAGAAACAAGAAGTTTTTCACTGCGCAACCTACTGCGCAGTTCTGTATCGGCTTTGTTGACATTGGACTGTCATTGGACAAGATGGCAGGCAGTGAGACTCAGCCGCATGCGATTGCCTAAAAAATGTCACTAAATCTAAACAGCCAGAGTCGGGGAAAAAAATTTAATATGCAAATGTAAAATTGGACGGAGAATTCAATTGTAACTAGCATTACCACAACTGGTAATGTTTAAGCCTAAAGCCAACCTCGAATTTACCGCTATTTTCAATCAAACTGATAGACTAACAGAAAAACAGAGAATGTCCGGCTGTCGTAGACATGCGCTGTTAATCGGGTTCCTTCCCGCCGTTTTCAGCTATTTAGAGTGGGTGAAAATCACACCAATGGCAAAATTTCATGAGAGATTAGGACCCATCCCGAAACCCCAGCCGACATTTCCGAAACAAGTTTTAAACGGTTTCTATGGTAACGGAAATTGTCGAAAAGATAGCAAATTTCCGAAACTGTAGTCGCTACGTTCAGTATCCATCTAGGCCTTAACAGATTAAAACAATACAAACATGAGATACAAACAAGATATAACAGTTTGGGTAAAATAATAAATGAGCGAGTAGTTACTTAAAGAATAATGGGGCCGAAACAAAACAGGAAATGTATACAATCATGGTAACCATAAAATGTATGATGTATTTACTGGTGCTGAAAAAGTTCAGAATTGACATGTCACTTTTCTTCGAAGTCAGAGGGGATCAACCTAAGAGGCCAGGACCAGCACTCTGCACACAAATAAGCTAGATCTATAAAATGGATGTACACACAAAACTTGAATTCTAGAACTAAACCAAGGTCCAAAGGTCTTCTTCTTCGAGTTCACGGCTATAAAATTTGGCGGAAAGTTTTGGTTGTTTGTCAACTTCTGAACTTTCGTCTAGTTCCGGAGCCTGAGTGTTGCATGCACTTCCGTTTTACAGATCTGTCTTATTTGTATGCAGATGGTTTGTTCCTTGCCTTTCAGGCAGATGCACTTTGACTTCGAATGAAATCCCCAATTAGGTGACTCTCTGGACATGATTGCTGGGGAGGCAGTGGGTCTGTTGTTGTTTTCCCTCCATAGTGGGACCCCAGAACCCACACAGGGAAGTCAAGAAGTGACAGACAACCATAACTTTCCACCCCAATTTACAGTCGGTGAACGCTAAAATCAACAGAAGGAAAAATAATCCACTTCTATTCTTCTTCTTCTTCTGCTTTTCTAACCCCTTATAGAGCATAGCCCTCAACCAACCCACGCCAGGTCATTCTATCCTTTGCTATCGTATGCACCTACCCCCCCCCCCCCCCCCCCCATGTCCTCCACTTTTTTAACTTCATTCTCTAGCTCCCGTCTGCATGGTTTTTTCGGGGTCTTCCTTTTTTTTTATGCCCCTGTGGGTTCCAGTTCAAAGTTATTTTAGTTATATTGTTCTCAGGTTTTCTCACAGTGTTTCCTATACAATGCCGGCATCTTTTCTTCACCTCTTGGTCCACTGGAACTTGTTTAGTTCTCTCCCAAAGCTCTACATTACTGATTCTGTCATATCATTTAATTCCCTCTATCCAGGCACCAGGTGATGAATGTTTGTAGTTTGTTAGAAATTGCTGTAGGTTTTCTCCATGTTTTCTCCCCATACAACAGTAGTAATTTCTTATATTAGAATAAAATATTTTAGGTTTAGTATTAGTTTTAATTTAATGAAGAACAAACAACCTGATGTACCAGTTTTTTTTTTAACCTTTTATTTTTTAAAACAGGATGAGCTGACTCAACAAAATGTAAAGCATGGCTTCCAGCTAGGAACCTTGGTGCCAGACGAGGTAAGGAACTGGATAGCTAATACAGCTAAACTGTTTATTGGGAACTTTAGTTTGCTTTTGAAAGCTGAGTGATTTTTCCAAAATAATCAAAAGAACTGATGTAACAGGGAGACGTCATCACTTGTTTGTCTGGAGGTAGAATATTGCATATTAATTGATAAGACGGAAGTCAACAGGTCTTGGCAACAATATTTTGTAAATAGTATTTGACGTCATTGTTGACGTGCTTTTTCAGAGAGAACGTAGTAGTACTTGTTTTTTAGGAGTCTTTAAGAGGTCTGCTGTCAATTTAAATACTATGTTTGCGCAGAATGAAATGATGAAATCTGATGCAGTTGAGTTATAATTAGAAAATACCACGTGAGAACTTACATAGTAAGCATGTAGAGATGTACTAGAAATTTCTAGAAGAGAAGAAAACATTTCATCATCCAAGTATAAAAAAATGAGTCAGAAACCACTTTTGTCAAGCTTTCAGTCTACAAGACTTAGAAAGACGAGGGACTAGTAATTTTGACCCTCAGAGCAAGCCTTAAGCCTTCCGTCGTTGAGACTCAAAGAGAACTTCCAGTTGTAGAGATGCCGGCTCAACACTAGAATGAGAGGAACCAGTCACATGAAGCCTCGAAGACAGACACTAGAGAGAGACATGAAACAAGACATCGAGCTACAGAGACAACACACAAGATACCTGAATACATGGATAACAGAGACACATTAGGTAGGAACACTATTGAGATGTGAAAGTCGATGATCAAGCCGTTAGTACCAGACAGCACTAGAAGCCAGGTGGCAGTTACAGACACTAGAACCAGTTAGCAAAGTAACTAGAGATGTAGAACACACCGCGACCTCAGGAGTATGTAGCCATAGGGAGAACACTGCACTATTTCACAATATCATTGATGTTATTTGTGACTTTACTGAAGTATCACAATAAAGACAGTTTAGACAAGAACAGTTGTTTCCAGACATTTTATTATACCATCATCAGAGTCACGTGAGAAGCATGCAGCTAGCAAAACATCATCATCACCACAATCGACATGACCATCTTTCTCCTCGTCTATAATCTTCCAAATCAACTCCTCCTGTAGCAAAACTAAAGACGAACCTGGGTGTGACATCAGCGTACGCAACAAAGAACAGAGCTGTGCTACATGGAAACATACAAGTGTTTGGGTACAAGCTTCAACTGCTCGAACATACTGAAAGAAGAAATACAATCTAAAAATAAGGTTTACTATACCTTACAAGATGTGAAATCATAATAACAAGATCACAGTATATAAAACATTAAAAAGACCATTTGCCCTACGTGGCTGTGAAATCTGGAGTACAGCTAAAAGAGATGAAGCCTTATTGTACATTTTTTAGAACCACCTTGTGATGGATCTTTGGACCCATCAGAGATGCATAAAGGGGTGAATGGAGAGAGGAGCAATAACAAAATTAATGATCTGTTTAAATCACCATTAATGACAGCAGGTCAAATGGTTTGTCTACTTAACAAGACTGGCATCAGACAGGGCACCACAGAGAGCAATGTTATGCAGATACAACAGTAACAGAGCCAGAGGTCGACCACGCAAAACATGGACCGCACAAATATCAGTGATGCTCAAAAGTACTATATACGAAGAGAAGGGCCCGTTGCAGAGATCTCTTCTTACCCTGATGCTGTGAGGCATTCCAGGAGTAGAGAAAAGAAGAAGAAGAATGACCTCATGAGGGCTTAAATCACTGCAGTGGTTGGGGCGTATGGAGAGAGAATGGCAGATAACCAAGAGACAAATCTGCATACACAAAAGAGTTGACATGGTGGAGTAGACCATGAGGCAGACCAAGAAAATTGTAGAGGAATAATATTCAGACCTACAAACACTTAAGTTTCGGCAACTAGAAAGAAAAAGCCGATCACGGTGGTGAATGGAGGCAGGTGGTCTGTGCTGCAGTGAACCTCAAGGCCTCAGAATGCTAAAGAAGAAGAAGGTATGGTAGTATACTGTAGTGCTTATGAAAGATTATTCCATTATGTGTTTAAAGTATGATGCTGTGCTTATGAAATGTTAGTAACTGTTCACTTAAATGTATTGTAGCATACTGTGCTTATGAAAGCTCAATAATTATTCCATTATGTATTTAGTACAATGTTATTAATATGATTTTAGTATCCTATGTGTGATGCATCAATTTAGAAATTAAATTAAAAAACAACACCCTGAGACAAACAGAGGAATTTAAGTATTTGGGAGCAATTTTTACATCTGACGGAAAACTAGACAGAGAAATTAGCTCCAGATGTGCCAAAGCTAATTAAGTAATGGGTCAACTTTCTCCCCTGTTGACACACAAGCAGATACCTCGGATTACTATTGTGAATCTTATCAGAACTATTTTTTGGCCAACACTATGCTATCAATGCAAAACGTGGACACTTACATCCTCCAATGAACGTAAAATTGTGACAACAGAGATGAAATGTCTTAGAAGAGCTGCAGGAGTTTCAAGGAAAGACAGAATACGAAATCATGAAATCAGACGAATGCTAGGAATAAAGCCAGTCTTACAGGTCATCAAAGGACAACAAATGAAGTGGTTTGGACACCTAACAAGAATGCCCTGGTGCTGTCCACCACAGCAAGCCACACTAAAACATTACAACGGGTATAGAGCGAGTTGAAGACCTCGGAAAAGATGAAGTGATGGCATTAAGAATAGCCTTACAGAAATGAACATCAGTCTTAGTAGTGCTCTTGACAGAGCACATCAATGAACGTTGCATCTCCCCCCGACACTTCGATGAGGTACAAGCTGGAAGAGAAGAAGAAGAGGATGTGTGATGCACTGTTTGTTTAAAGGAAGTCCTCTTTACTATTACAATGCTGTTTTCCAATTAACATCTTATTTACACTTATTAGGATTCCCCATGTGGGTTCTGGGGTCCTGTTATAGGAAAAACAAGAATAGACCCACTGTCTACCCAAAAGCATGTTGTAAGAGTCGACTTATTGGGAGCTTCCTTCTGGACTTTTTACTGTGTTTTGTTTAGTTAAGGAATGATGAAAGTACTGATGTTTCATTTGTTAATTTATATCTATATCTTCCAGTGTGCCTCATGCAAAGATATTGAAGTCACTCTTGATAAGGTAAGTCATTTTTACTGTTTAGTTTCTTCTCCTCTAACCTCATTTTCCTGCGCAGCATCAGTGTGAAGCTGAACTGAATATTTGAGATCTCTGATATTTGTACAAGATAGTATCATGGCTTCTGCCCGGCATTGCTGTGGTTCACTGACTGGCCATCACTACTGTGGTCAGTTCCCTGCCTTAACATACATGCAAGAAAGGTGTATTTACTGCTAAAGGACAGTTTTTAATTAACATTCTTGTTGTATAATTGCTCCATATGATAGATTTTTTTTTAAATGGGAAGTGATTTCCTGAGACTTCCCCCAAAAGAAACATCTTTGTAGAGGCCTAATTTGTAATAGGGCTAAGCTACCTCCACTCCACACACACACCCCCCCCCCCCCCCCCCCCCCCCACTCCCAAGTCATATATAGAAGTTCTCTGTTTAAGTTTTGTGACTTCTTATTTCTTCATCTCTGATTCTCAGTCTTATCATACCTTATCTTATTCCAGCACATTGCACTCAAGTTTCTAGTTCTGTGTTTTCTTCTTTTCCTTTTCCATGATTGTCTTATTTTGCTTGTACCTTCTAGCTGTCCAAATGGTGTGATGCACAAGAGCGATTGAAATGCAACTGAAAAAAAAATGGCCAACTCTCCAGTGGACAGAGCAGGGCATTCATTTGTCTGCACAGCCAGAACTTGCTGTCATTGATGGAGAGCACAACCACTGATGTAGAGAACTGGGAAAAACTAGCTGTTTTATCTTCCCAAGGCTATATTTAGGAGCACATCACAAATTATGGGATGGAGGGTGGCCTGTTAACAAACGTCAATCCACTCTTTTGACTGAATAACTTAGCACAAGTGTGTTTATTTTTACAGTCATGATTGTGTAGCAGGTCCTTTGCCAGCAGATGGTATATGTCTCTTTACTGCCTGTTTTTTTAACCACATTTTATGTAAGTATAAACATGGAGAAATTTAGGACCACATGGCTACTAAGTGGCCACAAACTTTGCGGGTTAGGATTTTTCATGTAGAGTACGTAACAGTATGCTTCAGTGACCATATATGTGATAAACACTTGTAGAAAGATAAGACATACAAGACAACATAACAATCCCAAGCTATAGTAATGATGTCAGAAATCAAACCTGTCACCTCAAAATGAATGCAGGGCCTCACTGCAGGAACAATTGTACTGCGGCACATGACCAACTAGAGTTCATTGCTGTTCATTGCATCACTGACCAGTAATGTATAGACCAAGTGAAAACCAAAAGCAAGGCTAACCATGTAAAAGATAGGTAATCAGATGATCTGGTAATCAAAGAAACAACTTCACAACTAATGGATCACCCCAAAGTTGCTTTGTTCCTGTACCAACAAAACTACAGAATGCTCATCATTGTCTCTTGTGAAAAAAACATGGCACAGACAGCAGTCTAATCAAATCCAGTAGCATTTACACACATTAGGTGCATAAGGCAGCCGTCGGGTGTACCAATACAAACTGTCCGACACTAGAATTTCAGTTCATTGTCGATGGAAGCAGCAATTGCCACATATCAGTTCACACACATGAAATTAATCACGTAAGGCATCCTCGGTTATTTGTCAACAGACAACTTGTCATTTTCTGAATCTGCAGTTCATAACTCAAACCATATTGTGCACAGTTGAAAAGATTCCAAATGAACTCCGCAGCTCACAGTGTCAACCATGCACTCCATTCAATAGCTGAGCCACGAAACTGTAGGAGGTAAATTTGTCTATCTGCCATATTGACCAGAAGCCATGTAAAAGATAGACAGAGGCAATAAGGCAGTCCCCAGGAACACTATTTAACGAAGCAAACAGGCATTCTGTTGATACTTCAGCTTGTTAATGCACGGTGTAAGAAGTACAAAATAGGAGGAGACAGCGTCACTAACTTTAATGCCATTGATATACTGATGCACTTGTTTTGTTTTGTGTGTTTCAGTGCAGCACTTTTTACAACAGCGTGTTAAAAAAGAAAACTGAATTAAACACACTTCAGGACAGTAAGAACAAAAAATTCCAGCTGCCAGTCAAGGAGAATTTCTGGCCTGTAAGTATATTTCTTCTGTGGTCACTTTATATTAAAGGCTGGTCTCTTATGAAACCAGCCTGTGTTCCTCTTCATGAAATGGTTATATTCTTGCATGTCATGTGGTAGGAGTTACCAGGGGATCTGATCAACGCTTGACACTTTGGCAGAAGGGTGAGATGGATGTACAATCAGACAGTTACTGGTGCCACAGGAGTTGAAACTCTTCACTTGCCGCTGAAGATGGATAAAGAGCGCTAATAGGAGTGGCCCAGGTGCTATGCTGTCGATTCTTAATTCAACATTCTAGGTTTATTTTTGGAACCATCCTTATAATTCTTTGGACAGCCAAAAAAAAAAAGAGCAGCACAGATGTTTTGAAAGAGGCAGGGGCTCTAAGATAATTAATCAGAAACAGACAGTCATCATTTTTTGGCTATATTAAGAGCAGAAAGTAACTAGAATATTTTGTGAATAATGAAAAGATGTGTGAAAAATAGATAGAGCAAGACAGACAGGAGGATTGTTGACAAAAAAAAGTGGGAGCGGTTTATTCTTTCTTCCTCCACAATGGGGCCCCAGAACCCATATAGGGACCCCCACTTCTTGGTTTGCTAGAATTTATCTATTTCTCTGCTTAAATTCATGGTTTCAGAATGGCGATAAGCAGCTTATCATGGGCTGCTATTCTGTGTTTAATACTGTGTAATACCATGTGTTTTTCATAGGAACAATGTGTATTGTGGTTGTGCTGTGTCAGAGCGGGGATGATGACCGATAGATTTGGCAGCCTCGACCACACTGCCTTCGCTATGTTTTGATTGCAGCTGCCCACTTTATGGGAATACAGAAACTCGTCTGTGGAGGACCACACACTGTCTAGAGAGAAAATTCTTTAAAAGCTGTCCCAAGAAATTAAATCTGTCAACTTTTGTTTTTGTTTTTTGGTGGGGCGTAATCGGCACATACAGTTAACTCAATGGCTATGCCATGCCTAAATTCCTCTTTCCTCTTTTGTGTTTAACATTCATTGTTTATTCTTTACCATCTTGTACAAACAGGCAGCCTGCAGTAAGTCTTCCACGGAAGCATGGTTCAAAGATCTTGCTGGAAGCAAACCTTTGGCCTCTCTTAGTCGCAAGGTAAGGTTATTTTCTGCTTTTGTACCTTTCTGCTGATGACATGTATTTTGTTTGTTGTTGGTTATAAGTCATGGACCATCTTTGCAACCATGAAAGGCTAAAATAGGTCTTTTTAACCTTGAATGTTAAAATTCCCTGTGTGGGTCCTAGGGCCCTATTGTGGGGGAAAACAAGAATAGACTCACTGCCTTTCCAGCAAGCATGTCTTAGGAGTCGACTAACTGGGGATTTCCTTTAAAGTCCATAGTGCATCTGCCCAAGTGGCAAGGAAAAGACAACTGCACACAAATAAGCAGTAAAATGAATGTACACGCAAAACCTAGGCCCTGGCACAAAGTCAAAGTCCAAACGGATGAAGAACCAGGGTTTTCCATCAGAGTTTACAGCTCATAAATAGCATGTTCTGGAAAGAGAAATGTTTGGCTGGTCAAGCCACATTGGTGTGGAATGTTGGATCTTTTCTCTGGGGCATGTGGATTTGTTGGGAAACAGAAAAACAAAATGGCTGGTGCTCCACTGAGTGGTGAAGTGATGTGTGACAAGCTAGATGTGGTTAAGGCCTTTTGGAAGCAAGTAAACAATGTGAATAGATCATTGCATTCTGTTGGGGGAGGGGGCGGTGCAGTGGGACGTGACCAGGGGATCTTGCCAAAACTCTGCACCACCAGAGTTATACAACTGGCCACACATAGGCTTTGTCCAGTCTGTAGAGACCTAGCAAGGGGCAGTAGGTCATTGTCAGTTGTATTATATTAAAGATCTTTCTATGTTTACACTGTGGTCTCTGGCCTGTGATGACTCCCAGTTTGCAACATTGTGGCCCCGAGTAAACTTAGTTGAATAGCTCCGCTCTACACTCAGAGGACAGGCAAGATGGACATATAATAAACTTGCTACTGTTACCATCGGCACTGGAACACTTCACTGGCTGCTGCTGGAACACTTCACTGGCTGCTGAAGATAGGGATGTCTAGAGTTCTGTGATGTTGGTATTTTACTGCTTTAGACAGAAAACTAATGGACTGTACGTTTTCTGGAAGAGATGCAGAGGTCAACCAGCAGGAAGATGGACTCAGTAACATGGCGACACTTTGGGTATGAAAATACATGAAACAGAGGAATGGCAAGGACTGAGTTTCTTATTATTTGGAAGCGGCAGAGATGTGGATTTATAAACGAGTTAATACCCTGGACAGATAAAAAGATAAATTAAGATGTCTTGAAAGAAACTCACTCTAAAAGAGAACTGATTGCCTACATCAGAAGGAGACAGTCTAATTGTTTGGTCAGTCATGAAAAAATAGAAAATTGGAGTCCATCATGGTGGTGAGAAAGTTGGAAGGGAAAAGAGGCAGAGGGAGAGCATGAAGAAGATGCTGGACAGTTTGGAATCATGGCATGGAAGATCATCTGTGTCACAATTGATGGAAAGTACACGATACAGGAAGTGATGGATAGACATGACTACCAAGGCAGCATGGACTATAAGAAGGAGAATTTAAAAAAAGAATCTCCAGCCATGATGAGAGATAACATTCTCCAAAGAAACTGTTAGATGATGATGATGACCCTCTTTACACCTGTCCTTCAAAATGTCATTTACTTTCAAAAGGCATGTGCTTCTAAAGATCTGTGAACACATTCACTCGCCTCAGAAAGTCAAGCTTTCAAACCTTTGTCATGGTAGATTTCTTTTCAAAATTATTCTTTGCTGCTAGATCGACCCAACCTAAACTGGGTACCAAATAATGTCTTGGAAAGTGTCGATCGGTCTGTAAAAGTATAGTTTTAGCATCATATGCCCGATGCATCACTTGTGAAAAAAGGGGTCCTCTACTTTTACTTCTGTAATCACATTGGTGTCATTTTTTGGAGCAGAGAGTAAATGTCTGGATTCACAAAATGGCACCAAGGATTATTTAGAGTGTTGTTCATGTTTATGATCCATAGTGTCGATCCAAAGTCTGTTTGTTGTACAGGTACCAACATTCAACAAGAAGGAGGAGATATTTTCCACCCTGTGTGAATATTCTGTGTCCAATGTCCGCGCTGCTTGGTTCATCAAAATGACTGCTGCACACAACATGGGAACTCAGGATTCCAGAAATCGTAGAAAGCTGTCTATAGACCAGTGCATGGGTTAGTAAACTTCATATACCAGTTAGTCAGCTGGGTACCATCTCCTTCCGTCCTTACCCAGATAGGCCAGCAGGTTACACCTGGAACTGTTTTAGATGCAATCTTAAGTAGTAGGTATTTAATAAAATCTTTATTCATGATTATTTGACTGGATCTTTAGTCATTCCCCCCCCCCCCCCTTTTTTTTTTAGGCAAAGTTATTTGACTGAATCTTTAGACAATTTTTCTCTTCAGTTTTTAGACAAAGTTATTTGACTGAATCTTTAGTCAATTTTTTTCTTCTTCAGTTTTTAGACAAAGTTAATTGACTGAATCTTTAGTCTTCGCACTTGTAGTGTTATTTGATTGAATCTTTAATCATGACTTTTTATTCAGTCTCCCGTTTTGGTTTAATTTCAGTATCTGCTTGTGGGTATTTGATTCTGTCTTCAGTCATAATCGTAATCATTTGATCTCAGTATTCAGCCTGTTATTTTATTTTAAATCTGGATGCGGTTAATTGATTCAGTCGTAAATCATGATTGTTTGATTTGTTGATCTCCAACTGTTTAATTTAAATCTTCAGTCATGACTACTTGATTTAAATTTTTGCCTTATGGGTTCCATGGGTGGGGGTAGGGGGGATGAACTGCGCCCCCCCCCCCCCCCTGAACCCTGAACCCACAAGGCTATTGTTAAAGGCCACTAATTAACTAATTTAGGGTGTTTCCGTTAAAGTGGGAGTGCATCTACCAGAGAGGTCGATGAATAACTTATAATCTGCGTACAAATATGCCGGATCTATCAAAACTGATGTGCAGGCAAAACTCAAGTTCTGTAACACGACCGGTCCAGAAATGAACAACCAGAACTTTCCGCCACATTTTACACCCAGTAAATGCTAAGAAGAAGGAGAAGATTTTTTTCAAAATTTAGTCATGGCTTTTTGATTCAGTCCAGATATAATTACTTGGTTCTCACCAGATGTAATTTGATTTTTTTTGAGACATAATGTTTTGATTTCACTCTTCAATTGTGGTCATTTGATTCAGTCCAGACATAATTATTTGATTTCACTCTTCAGACTGGACGCAAGCACTGACCAAGTTCCTAAAGGACCAGCTGCAGAAGATTCAAGATTACTTTACTGAGACTTCCAGCACGCCGATGACCACCCCGTTTCTGTTGGCACCGTCTCCAAATACGTCTAAAGTAGACCTGGATCAGGCCATGAAGAACTGGGCCTACTGTACGAGATTTGCCAACCATATGTACGAGGTATGGTTCCTTTTATTTTTCTTCTTCTTCAGCATTCTGAGCCCTTGAGGTTCATTTTTGCAATTATCACCCCCTCCATTCATCTCTGTGATTAGTTCTCTTTTTCTAGTTGGTGACTCCCAGGTTTTAGTTGGTCTGCCTGTATCTTATCGCTCCATCTTCTTTTTAGTCTGCCTCGTGTTCTAAAAACATTCAGCTTCCCTTGCTTACAGTATTTACTTTTCTGTCATCTGACATTCTTTCAATATTCCTCCACCATTTTGGTACTTTTGCTTAAAAAACAACTGTAGTGGTGTTGATTATCTTCTGCTTCTATATTGGGCCTTGAAAGGGTGGTTTGCATGTTGGGTTGTGTTTTACAAATAGGCTGCTATTACTGCATCTTTCAGCCCAGCATATGATTTTAGCAAATCTATTGCCAGTTGGCAAAGCACTTGCTGATGATGATAGTGACATCTCTGCTGTAGAAGGCTGCAACACCACACAAAAAAAACAAAATCTGAAGAAAGAAGAAGATTTCAGACTGCCAGTTTCTTTTATATGAAATATGGGATACTACACCTTGTAAACTTGTCGTATTCTGTCCTTTTCAGGAAAATTTGTTTGATCGCCATGAGTTCCTGAGCTGGTTAATTGAACTTCCTGACAAAATGAAGCAGGCAGACGATGTTGTTCTCAAGCTAATTTTGGTGCAGCTGAATTTGGTATGATATACAGTTCTCTTCTTTCTTTAACTCTGTCTTACCTTTGTATAGTTGTATTAAATTAGAATGAAATATATTTATTTCAGCATATTAGAGACAGTTAGTAAACAAGCCAAACAGTTTCTTGATGCCTCGGCGATATGATTTTACAGAAAAGCCCTTATAATTCTTTGGACATCCAGAAAGAGCAACCCAGATGTTTTGAAAAAGGGAAGGACTTTAAGACAACTTATCACAAACATCATAAAGAGACAGTTGTAATTTCGTGTTCATATTACAAAAAGAGGGAAACGAACATGATGTGACCAGTGGAAAGATCGGTGGAAAAAGAGACAGGAAGGTAATGGGAATATATTTTGGACAACATTTTATCATTGCATAGAGGAGTGTCAGGGAGTCACCATGGCGAAGCGACTAGATGCTCGCGTTGATCATAAGGTCGTGGGTTCACTTTCAAGTGGAGCCGGACTTGAAAAGAAAAATTAACAAAAAAAATACTGCCTTGGCTCCCAGGTTGATCAGCCTTGAGTGGGTACTGGGTGCAGTCCTGGGAAGTAAATGTGGCTGGCATGATACTGACCACATCACCCAACTTGTGCCGATTGTTCTATAAAATATAGGTCTAGCCCTATATGCTCTATCCGCCTAAAGGTGTGGAAAAGGGTCCTTCACTTACTTACTTGAGGGGTGTCAGCACATGAAATGATACATGCTATTGAAGATCATAGATTGTGGAGAGAGGCATGACTGTACACACTAGCCAGCAAGACACTCAATTATGATGATGACATATAAGAGCATCCTCATCTGATAAAACATTCAGCTTAGAGGAACAGTATTTTCTTTGATAAGGCGCTGCGGCTGCCACAAAAGAAGAAGGCCATTGTCTGTATGGAGATGGATTAGTTGTTGTTGCACTAAGGCTGTGTTGGTTTACTATTCTTCTTTGGCTGCCTGTATGTTCATGTCTGGCAACACCTCTTCATCATCATCATCATTCAGTAACACTACGTGGCATTGGGTCACTAGTTTCTGTTGACTGTCTTATCAGCTCTCTCCACCTTTGGTGGTCATTTACGATTGACTTCATGGTTGCATGCCTAAGGCTTGTCCAGTCAGTCAGGTTCTGTAACCAGGTCTTTCTTGGTCTCCCTCTTCTCCTTTTTCCATCTACTGAGCCCTGCAGTATTGTTTATGAGAGGCCTGTTATATCTTATTACATGTCCATACCATTGCATTTTTCGCCTTTTCACTGTAGTTAAAAGAGGTTCAAACGTGCCAGTGTGCTTTATAATTTTATGGCAAGTTTTTTCATTTGTGATGTGGTCTCTGTATGATTTGCCAGCAATTTTTCTCAAACATCACATTTCTAATACTTCTCTTTCTTTTAAGTTCAGCTGTTAAGGTCCATGTTTCACAGCCGTATGTAAATGTACTAATAGCTAACACCTCTGTTATAACAAATTCGTGAAGGTTTATCAGGATTTCAGATTCACCATCATCTCTTGAATCACATACTCATCCTACCTCCTTGAGAACATTGGCCTGGTCCATGGCTTTTCCTGTGCATACCATGGTCATGCCACCAAGCCTGTCAGCTCTTTCATCCCCTTTTACCCCATAGTGTTCTGGCCGTAGTGTAAAGTCTTAGATGCTAACTTATTTTTATCTCCTTAATGTATGTAGTTTTTGCATTACATTTAATTACCTTTCTGTAATTGCTTCCAGTATTCATCTGATATTTGCAAGTCTGTCATTTTGGCGAGAAGACTGGCCACAGTTTGTGGGCGGAAGATCACAGTTCTTGTAGCAGAGATGGACCACATGATGGGTAGAAATGACCCAATGATTAATGCTAATGGGTATGTGCATGGGGTCACGTCTGATTAACATTTACTTTTATTATTCTCGATCCTTTTGCCCTGAGAAGTTGCAAAGCTGGACACTTCAAAATGGGGCCAGTCCCCACTAAATATGACTTTTCCGACTTGTGAATAGTTTGTTGTCTACAAGACTTGCTGCTTGTTGTTACTTAGTGTCCCTATTGACATCCTAGCACATTGGTCCACCCTATTGACATCCTGGCACATTGGTCCACCCTATTGACATCCTGGCACATTGGTCCACCTTATTGACATCCTGGCACATTGGTCCACCCTATTGACATCCTGGCACATTGGTCCACCCTATTGACATCCTGGCACATTGGTCCAACTTATTGACATCCTGGCACATTGGTCCAACTTATTGACATCCTAGCACATTGGTCCACCCTATTGACATCCTGGCACATTGGTCCATCCTATTGACATCCTAGCACATTGGTCCACCCTATTGACATCCTAGCACATTGGTCCACCCTATTGACATCCTGGCACATTGGTCCACCCTATTGACATCCTGGCACATTGGTCCACCCTATTGACATCCTGGCACATTGGTCCACCCTATTGACATCCTAGCACATTGGTCCACCCTATTGACATCCTGGCACATTGGTCCACCCTATTGACATCCTAGCACATTGGTCCACCCTATTGACATCCTAGCACATTGGTCCACCCTATTGACATCCTGGCACATTGGTCCACCCTATTGACATCCTAGCACATTGGTCCACCCTATTGACATCCTAGCACATTGGTCCACCCTATTGACATCCTGGCACATTGGTCCACCCTATTGACATCCTGGCACATTGGTCCACCCTATTGACATCCTAGCACATTGGTCCACCCTATTGAGATCCTAGCACATTGGTCCACCCTATTGACATCCTAGCACATTGGTCCACCCTATTGACATCCTGGCACATTGGTCCACCCTATTGACATCCTGGCACATTGGTCCACCCTATTGACATCCTAGCACATCGGTCCACCCTGTTGGCATCCTAGAACATTGGTCCACCCTATTGACATCCCCTGACACATAAGGGTTGTAACACAAGTCCTTCTGCATCTTAATGGTGCAGATATATCAGATCTAATGCAACAAAATGTAAATTGTGACACATAAGGGTTGTAACACAGGTCCTTCTGCATCTTAATGGTGGAGATATATCAGATCTAATGCAACAGAATGCAAATTGTGACACATAAGGGTTGTAACACAGGTCCTTCTGCATCTTAATGGTGGAGATATATCAGATCTAATGTAGCAAAGTGCAAGTTGTGACACATTAGGGTTGTAACACAGGTCCTTCTGCATCTTAATGGTGGAGGGCATAACACATCAGAGAGGGTATGTAACAAAATGCAGGGTGTGACACATCAGAGAGAGGGTATGTAACACAATATAACAAACTGCAGGGTGTAATATATATCAGAAAGGGTATGTAACAAAATGCAGATGTAACACGCCAGATAGGGTATGTAACAAAATGCAGGGTGTAGCACACTAGAGAGGGTGTGTAACAAAATGCAGGGTGTAGCACACTAGAGAGGGTGTGTAATAAAATGCAGGGTGTAACACGTCCGAGAGGGCGTGTAACAAAAAGCAGAGTGTAACACATCGCTGTAACCAGGAGTATGTAACAACATGCAGGCTGAATTCCTGATTGTGTTTCAGCACCCCACTAAACCCTGCCCAGGCCATCAACACAACCATCCAGATGTCGCTGCTGAACGCCATGTCCGAGTTCAAGGAGTGTCAGAGCCACCGCTTCATCGTGCTGCAGCTGTGTGCCCTAGCCCAGATCATCACCATCAAATGCCCTACAGCCATGGTATGGAACTCCCTTGGAGACAGCAAAAGCAACTCCTTCCTAGTGGGCTCCCCACTGGATCTGTTTCCTTGTGCCCCCAGCAGTCTCCCCATGCCTCCTGGTAGTAACAACCAATATGTAAGTATACCAGAAAAAAAAATGAAAGGTTGTTTTATGTTACAGTTATTGTCATTGGGGTCTGCGATGTTATACGTAGGGCTTGCACTTTGGTCGCCTATTTCATTATGTCCTGTGCCATCCTTATAGTATCATATTCAGGAACACCTTTCATGTGAATTCTGGGGCACATTTGGGGGGGGGGGGGGGGGGTTAAATAGACACACTGCCCTGCCCCCCCCCCCCCCCCCCCCCCCCCAGCATGTTGTTAAAACCGACTAAATAGGGGTGTTTCCCTATGTTAATATAATTTTTTTCTCTTGTCTATGCTGTGCAGCTTTGAAACATGTTTTCCTTGGGGAGGGGGGGGGGGGCGGAGTTCTGTGCCCCATTGTGGTTAAAACAACAATAGACTCACTGCATTCCCCCCACAAACATGTCATAGGAGTCAGCTAATTAGGGGCTTCCTGTGAAGTCAGGGTGCCTCTGCCTAAGCGGCAAGGAATAACCAACTGCACACAAATAAGCCAGTAAAATGGATGTACACATAAAACTCAAGCTAAAGTCCAGATGGACAAACAACCAGGATTTTTGCCAGAGCTGACAGCAGACGAACAAAGAAGAAGAAGAAACATGTTTTGTCAGAGAGAGCATGTGGTAAATGTACAAATTACTTGGTAACCACCTGTCGACCTTGAAATTCAAGTCGTGAGATGTACAGTTTAACTAAAGACAGTTTGATTTGTATTTCTGTAGAAAGGGTTAATGTTTTGTGCTTCATTATTTGTTGACTTAACTCTGTACTAATGCATCTGATGGGATAGATACAACAGAATGTGCCAAGCAACAAATCATGCCTTGTATTGTTTTGTGTCCTCATTATGTAAATTCACTATGGAAAATTCTGTTTGTGTTAACTCTTGTTTCTCTCTTTGGTTGTATAGTTTATCGCTGCTAAATAGCAGGCCCAGTAAGTAAAGGCGGCCAGCGGGATGCTGACCAGATCACTCATCTTAGGCCTATTGGTCTATAAAAATTTAGGTCTTGCCCTCTACACCTAAAGGCCTGGAAAAGGGACCTTGACATTTTATTTGTTACTTTACTGTTAAACATGACTGTTTTTCAGATACGAAGTCAGCTGAAAATTGGGGAACAACAGGTTGTAGCCAGGAGTATAGCAGCAGAGGCACACTGGTCCTCTGATAAATGCCAACAGTCAACTGCAGGTCAGAATTTGTGTTCTGTCATGTTTTTTTGTGTGTGAAATTTATTCAGTGTTATTGATTAGCACATATAGAAGTAGATAAAAGAGGTAAGAGGATGTGCTTCACCAGTGGCTCTCAGTTGGCTGAGACCTGTGGACTCATCTTTTTTTTTTTTTTAAGGTTATCCACCTACCCCCATACATTTTGATAGTCATTCTAGAGAATTTATTATTTGTAAATATTAAAATTACAAAAAAAAAAAGGATGCACTATGAAGATGAGACTTTTGTTTTTGTAAAGGATATCACTGATCCCTTAAAATTGATCCTTGAGCCATCCAGTGGGGTTCTAGTACCACTCCCCTCCTCCCCGCCCAACAAGCATATTATAAAGGTGAGAGGCAGGGAACCACCATCTGAATACAAATAAGCCAGTTCTGTAAAACGGAATCTTGGCTGAATTAATATCCAAATTTCAGTTTTCTGGTTGTTTTCAGGTTGTGTTATGAGCAGAGTGCTGAAAATTCTGTGATAGTTTTCAGGTTATGTGTTGAGCAAATTGCTGAAAGTTCTGTGATAGTTTTTGGGTTATGTGTTATGAGTAAATTGCTGAAAGTTCTGTGATAGTTTTTGGGTTATGTGTTGAGCAAAGTGCTGATATTTTTCAGTTATGTGATAAGCAGAGTGCCTGAAGTTCTATGTTATTTTTTCAGTTATGTGATAAGCAGAGTGCCTGAAGTTCTATGTTATTTTTTTTTCAGTTATGTAATAAGCAAAATGCCCTAAGTTTTATGTTATTGTTTTCAGTTTATGTGATGAGCAAAATGCCCAAAGTTTTATGTTATTGTTTTTCAGGTTATGTGATGAACAAAGTGCTGAAAGTCCTGGACATCCTCGACCAACATAACTTTGATATTGTAGACAATACTTACAATATGGACTCGCTGTACATCAAGATCTTCAGCATTACCAACAGCAAGGAGATGGGAGAGGTTAGTATCATCATTGCACTGACTGATGTAGCATGATAAACAAGTTGACATGTATTCTTATTTTGCGACTGTGAACTCTGACAGGAGGTTCTGGTTGTTCATCCACTTCTTGACTTCAGTCTTGCTCCAGAACCTGAGCTTTGCATGCACATCTATTTTACAGGTGTGGTTTATTTGTATGCCGACTGTTGGTTCCTTACCTCCCAGGAAAATGCACTCTGACTTTGAAGGAAATGCCCCAAATTGGACTCCCTGCACAACATGTTTGTTGGGAAAGCATTGAGTTAATTATTTCCCCCAAAAATATGGCCCTGGAACCCACAGGGGGATTGTTATGTGTAGTCTTCTGCATCCGATGGTTATGAAATAACCAGCAGTACATTGTTGATGGAAATGCTGTATATTTTGTGTGTATGTGAATTGTGTATTAAGAAGTGTAATGTATTTATTGTTTTCTGTTATGCACAGACACCTATCGGAGATGAGCCAATCATTAACCTACTGGTAGACTGGGCTGTGAGCACCCAGCGGGTGGGAGACCACAGATGTATTGTGGCAGCTCTCCTCTTGGAACGGCGGCAGGCTGAGATTAGAAGCGAGGTATTGTGTTGTTTAATGAATGTTCTTCCACTACTGATTTAATGTTTAGTTACTGCTGTCTGCGATACTTGTGTGCCACCAATCAATAAATTTATTTTGATAAATATTTTTTTATTGGGTGTGTACAATCTATCTGCACATACACTTCTATTCTGTCACACATTCTCTCTCCCTCCCTTCTTCCTTCCCCTCGTAAATTGTTTCGTATAGACATATGATGGCACATAATTCTTTTTATCTAAGCAGGGATTATGACTTCAGAGGAGGAGAAGAACATAGAGCACAAGGTTAGTTAGGCAAAGAACAAGATGGAAAGATAACATCAGAGAATCTTTACAGTAGGACAGTGTGTTTATGGTCGAGCCAGCCAAAAGAGCAAGAAGCAGAACCTTATATCTCCCTTGACACCTGAAGTTAGAAAAAAAGGAAGGGAAGAAGAAGAAGAAGGGTTATGACCATCTGGGCTATCATGGTCGACAGTTATGTCCTGATAATGGATCATATTTTGATGAAGATGCTAATCATTACTTAAAACTGTTTAGAAATATGGAGACATGGACTGCTCTGATGATAAGGAGGGGCTCCACCCAGATCCGGGTACAGCAACTCCTGTTTTCCAGTCTTTGCTGATGAGTTTTCTGGACAGCAGGGCTCCTGTATTGGGTGAGTAGTCACTGTAACTTGTGCATGAATCTGATGATCTCACACACGTGTACTACTACTTCTTCTTCAGCATTCCAGACCCTTGGCGTTCATTCCTGCAGATATTCTCGCCTCCATTCATCTCAGTGATTGGACTTGGTAATTTTAGTTCCAGCTTCTTAACAAACGGGTCCCCTCATTGTTGCTCTGCTCTGTGCCAGCAAAAAACACACAGGATGTCCATCACTGTCTCCTGTGGAAACATTGACACAGACTGCAGTCTCATCATATCCATTAGCTTGCGCACGCATTAAAAGCATAATGCAGCCATCAGAAGTGTTAACACAAACAGTCCAACATTAGAAATACAGTTCATCATCAATGGAAGCAGCAGTTACAAACAGGTCAGCACTTGCAAACATGTTCATTTTAATCACATAAGAATCGTCAAATCTGTAGCAGCAGAAGGAAACAATTTGCCTCGACTAAAAACAGTGACCCTGTCTATTGTCTATTTTGACTGGAAGGTCTTTGATTGGGTTTGTCTTTCTAATAAGTGACTCCAAATGTTTGTAGGTCTGCATGTGTCTCTGTGATTTTATTAGCCTTTCTGCTGGTTTACATTAGACAGAAGACAAATATTTAAAGTTAGTACGCAAAAGTTCAACTGTCTGTTGTCCGAAAGTCCTGCTACATGACAGACTTTGGTTCACACATCTGTTGACTGAGACGCCAACTGCACGACTGCTTAGGTTTAAATATCCTTCCGTTGAGTGTCCTACTGTGTATTTTAATTTATACTCTAAGTAAAACATCCACTAACAATGGCCACACTTGTCAGAGTGTAATGCTTCCCATAAATGCTGCAAAAAGTGCCCAGGACATCCTTGTGAAAGGTGCCGTTGTCAAAGAGAGAAGTCCAGCATGCTGAAAAAGTGAAGTACCCATTTGAGCAAGGAGTCGGAGTCCTTGGGTCTGCAGGCTACTTCCTGGTTATCCTTAAAGGGCGCAGCTCATCTTAAGTGGAAGGATTAATATATAAATGTGAGGTTGAGCAGTCATGTGCAGGACATAACAATTCCTTGGATGAGTCTAGTAGCAGAGTGCCATGAATCGGCTCTGCATTTATGGAAGCCTCCTTGGATAGCAGGAAATGCTACGCTCTGCCCCTGCCTTTCCCTGAGGGCCGATCAAGCTGCATGCAGAAGCCCTGCAGTATCCTATGGGGACATCACCTGTGGATCAGGGGTTGATGAAGTCACAAAACGGTGTCCCATGAAACTAATCAGGAAGGCTAACTCAGATAGCAAATACCAGAAGAAGCAGTATGTGTCAGCTGAAAGGGGCAAATATTGCAGCTATGCTGTAAACATTTATGTCCCTAAGATGAATTATGGAAAAGAAGAGGAAGAAGAAGTTTGTGTCTTTGTTAAGAAAATCTTTTAAACTTTTTACTTTATTAAAAATTACTTTATTTACATTATTAAAAAACCTCATTTTGTATTGTTTACAGAGGAGCACCCAACAGATGAAGCTCGGCAGGCTTTCAAAAATCTTATAGCTTTATTCAATGAGCTAATTGTCCATGATGTGTTCTCCCATGATGCCTACATGCACATGCTGATCTCCCGAGGGGACCTGGGCCTGGCTCCAGCTTACACCACTCCGCTGTCGGACAGCGATGATCTGTTCAGCGTCAAGAGCCAGCCGGAGAGTCTCAAGCATGATATGACACTGGGAGATGTAAGTGTGTGCTTCTCTTGCAGATGTGTTTATTGACTTCAGAAACAGTGTTTGCTTAAAAAGGCTGTATGCTGTGCCTTCCATACAGATTTGCATTATGTTTGGTTGATGGTAATGAAAATGTTGTGGGTATACTTCTGATTTTGACTGAGTAGGTAATGGTTTCCACCCTTTCCGATTCCTTATATTCCTTCTTTATGTTGTAAGTGAAAGAGAGAGAGGTATTTGCAGTTTTGTGCAAGAATCTAAGTGGCATATTGGTAAAGCCATGTTTCCCAGTCTAACAGTTGTAGGTTCATTTCTAGGCTAAATTTGTTAGTGAAACCCCCTCTGATGGCAGGGGCAGATACTGCACATTCCTAGGCAGTATTTGTCAGTCACTGAATGTCTGCCACTGAATTGCCTTCTTTACTTTTTTAAATATGACATTCATTTGGTAACGAAGTTCCCCGTGTGGATCCGGGGCTCCATTATGGGGGAAACAAGAATGGATCCATTGCCTCCCCAACAAGCATGTCATAGAAGTTAACTAATTAACGCCTCCCTTTGAAGTCGAAGTGTATCTGCCCAAGTGGCAAGGAACAACTAAATGTGCACAAATAAGCCAGTAAAATGTAAGTACACGCAAAACTCAGGTCGAATAACCAGAACTTTCTGCCAGGAGATTACAGACGGTAAACAGAAAAGAAGAAGGTAACAAATTAGGAAACAATCCTATTGGATTGTTACATCTCGCTGGCATTGATTCCATAGATGAGGGCTGCAGTTGTGCCAGTATAAACAAATATTAGCTAATCAAAACACCCAGTATATATATTAAAAAAATACAGGTCAAAGTACCCAGTATTAACTATCAGTAGAGTATTAATTGGGTACAACAAACTGCTTCCATTGACTGGCAACGGCAATAGTTATCCCACTGTGAAAGAACAAAGGAAGCAGTCAAGAAATGGAGTCAGTACCGAAGTATCCGGTATATAAACCAACAAGCGGGTGCACTTGTATACCAACTGACACCGTTATTAAGACATCCAAACATAAGTATGAGCACCAAGAAACAGATTATAAAAAGCATATTTGTTCCAATACAGTGCTACCATTGCCAGTCTCGGACATTATCAAAGGCTAACATTCGTATAATTAACACCTGTGGAATGAGGTGCCTGAGAAAAGCCACCAACGTAACCATCCGAGACAGTTAGAAAAGTTATTATCAGAGAGAAATTAGGAACAACACCATGCAGCCAATTAATTGAAAAACAGATCAGATGGTTTGATCATGTAGTCAGAATGCAGCCAACAACTACTAACACAAACACAGGTGCTACACATGGAAAGATCTGAAGTAAAATCAAGAGAGACCGCTCTAGGAGAACTTGGCATTAAACAGCTTCTGTATCGACACGGAATGACTAGCCATTGCTGCCCATCAAGCAGTGGATCGCAAACTGTTCCTGCCCACAACGCTAAATGGCAGAAGTGGAAATTGATGACGATGATAAGGAGGAGGATGATGATGATGACCAAGGCATCTCTCTTTTAAGTCATGTTGGAAAAATGTATGCCAGGATAATAGAAACCAGCCTGAACCCCCCCCCCCCCCCCCCCCCCCTTCCTTCCACTAAATATGATAAGAACCTACTTGTGCCATCATTCATAGACCAGGACAAATATTATGGAATGTAATGGCTTGATTGAGTGAGTGAACATCACATTGAAGTTTGCAACCTTTATATTGTCAGTGTAGTTAGAATAAATCAGGGAACATCTAAACCATTCGCGTTGACATCCACAGTACTACAAGGATGTGTCTTATTACCACTGCTGTTTTATCATCTACATCAACAGTATATGCTAGGATGCCAAACTACATACAAAGACAGCAAATCAAAGAGTTTGCACACTCAAAAAGAGAGTGCCTTGTGACGCCATACAATACAAGGCATACACCAAAAGTAGAGGTGGATGGAGTAATGGGGTAGACCAAGAAAAATATGAATAGATAACATCAGAGAAACTCTACAACAGTAAACTGTGTCTCTAATCGAGGCGGGCAGAAGAGAAAGAAGCAGAACTTTATATCATCCTTGACATCTGAAGTGGTAAAAGAGGAAGCGAAGAAGAAGAAGAAAACTTAAAAAAAAAAGGATTGACAGTGTATGCAGTTATCTCTTTCGCTCACTTTGTCTTATTTCCAGGCAGGATTTTTTAAATGACCTACCTAAAAATGGATATCAGAAAAAGGCAACATCACTAAGGTTTCTGAAATGAAAAGGTGACTAGTGTAATGTCAGCCGCATCACCAAGGTTTCTGGAATGTAAGGTGGCTAGTGTAATGTCAGCCGCATTACCAAGGTTTCTGGAATGTAAGGTGGCTAGTGTTATGTCAGCCGCATTACCAAGGTTTCTGGAATGTAAGGTGGCTAGTGTAATGTCAGCCGCATCACCAAGCTTTCTGGAATGTAAGGTGGCTAGTGTGATGTCAGCCGCATTGCCAAGGTTTCTGGTATGTAAGGTGGCTAGTGTGATGTCAGCCGCATTGCCAAGGTTTCTGGAATGTAAAGTGGCTAGTGTTATGTCAGCCGCATTGCCAAGGTTTCTGGAATGAAAGGTGGCTAGTGTAATGTCAGCCGCATTGCCAAGGTTTCTGGAATGTAAAGTGGCTAGTGTTATGTCAGCCGCATCACCGAGGTTTCTGGAATGTAAGGTGGCTAGTGTTATGTCAGCCGCATTACCAAGCTTTCTGGAATGTAAGGTGGCTAGTGTAATGTCAGCCGCATCACCGAGCTTTCTGGAATGTAAGGTGGCTAGTGTAATGTCAGCCGCATCACCGAGCTTTCTGGAATGTAAGGTGGCTAGTGTAATGTCAGCCGCATCACCGAGCTTTCTGAAATGTAAAGTGGCTAGTGTTATGTCAGCCGCATTACCAAGGTTTCTGGAATGTAAGGTGGCTAGTGTAATGTCAGCCGCATCACCGAGCTTTCTGGAATGTAAGGTGGCTAGTGTAATGTCAGCCGCATTACCAAGGTTTCTGGAATGTAAGGTGGCTAGTGTTATGTCAGCCGCATTACCAAGGTTTCTGAAATGTAAGGTGGCTAGTGTAATGTCAGCCGCATTACCAAGGTTTCTGGAATGTAAGGTGGCTTGTGTTATGTCAGCCGCATTACCAAGGTTTCTGAAATGTAAGGTGGCTAGTGTAGTGTCAGCCGCATTACCAAGGTTTCTGGAATGTAAGGTGGCTAGTGTTATGTCAGCCGCATTACCAAGGTTTCTGGAATGTAAGGTGGCTAGTGTTATGTCAGCCGCATCACCAAGGTTTCTGGAATGTAAAGGTGGCTAGTGTAATGTCAGCCGCATTACCAAGGTTTCTGGAATGTAAGGTGGCTAGTGTTATGTCAGACACATCACCAAGGTTTCTGAAATGTAAAGGTGGCTAGTGTAATGTTAGCCGCATCACTGAGCTTTCTGGAATGTAAGGTGGCTAGTGTGATGTCAGCCGCATCACCAAGGTTTCTGGAATGTAAGGTGGCTAGTGTTATGTCAGCCACATTACCGAGCTTTCTGGAATGTAAGGTGGCTAGTGTAATGTCAGCCGCATCACCAAGGTTTCTGGAATGAAAGGTGGCTAGTGTGATGTCAGCCGCATCACCGAGCTTTCTGAAATGTAAGGTGGCTAGTGTAATGTCAGCCGCATCACCAAGGTTTCTGGAATGAAAGGTGGCTAGTGTGATGTCAGCCGCATTACCAAGGTTTCTGAAATGTAAGGTGGCTAGTGTGATGTCAGCCGCATTACCAAGGTTTCTGGAATGTAAGGTGGCTAGTGTTATGTCAGACACATCACCAAGGTTTCTGAAATGTAAAGGTGGCTAGTGTAATGTTAGCCGCATCACTGAGCTTTCTGGAATGTAAGGTGGCTAGTGTGATGTCAGCCGCATCACCAAGGTTTCTGGAATGTAAGGTGGCTAGTGTTATGTCAGCCACATTACCGAGCTTTCTGGAATGTAAGGTGGCTAGTGTAATGTCAGCCGCATCACCAAGGTTTCTGGAATGAAAAGTGGCTAGTGTGATGTCAGCCGCATCACCGAGCTTTCTGAAATGTAAGGTGGCTAGTGTAATGTCAGCCGCATCACCAAGGTTTCTGGAATGAAAGGTGGCTAGTGTGATGTCAGCCGCATTACCAAGGTTTCTGAAATGTAAGGTGGCTAGTGTGATGTCAGACACATTACCAAGGTTTCTGGAATGAAAGGTGGCTAGTGTGATGTCAGCCGCATCACCAAGGTTTCTGGAATGAAAGGTGGCTAGTGTGATGTCAGCCGCATCACCAAGGTTTCTGGAATGAAAGGTGGCTAGTGTGATGTCAGACGCATTACCAAGGTTTCTGGAATGTAAGGTGGCTAGTGTAATGTCAGCCGCATCACCAAGGTTTCTGGAATGTAAGGTGGCTAGTGTAATGTCAGCCGCATCACCAAGGTTTCTGGAATGTAAGGTGGCTAGTGTGATGTCAGCCGCATCACCAAGGTTTCTGGAATGTAAGTTGGCTAGTGTTATGTCAGCCGCATCACCAAGGTTTCTGGAATGAAAGGTGGCTAGTGTAATGTCAGCCGCATTACCAAGGTTTCTGGAATGTAAGGTGGCTAGTGTGATGTCAGACACATCACCGAGCTTTCTGGAATGTAAGGTGGCTAGTGTAATGTCAGCCGCATCACCAAGGTTTCTGGAATGAAAGGTGGCTAGTGTGATGTCAGACACATCACCGAGCTTTCTGGAATGTAAGGTGGCTAGTGTGATGTCAGCCGCATCACCAAGGTTTCTGAAATGTAAAGGTGGCTAGTGTAATGTCAGCCGCATTACCAAGGTTTCTGGAATGTAAGGTGGCTAGTGTGATGTCAGACGCATCACCAAGGTTTCTGGAATGTAAAGGTGGCTAGTGTAATGTCAGCCGCATTACCGAGCTTTCTGAAATGTAAAGGTGGCTAGTTTGATGTCAGACGCAAACCCCCACCATATAGTAAGTAAAGCAAAGTAAAGGTCCCTTTTCCACTCCTTTAGGAGTATTGGGAATATAGGGAATATAGGAATAGACCTTTATTTTTATAGACCAATCGGCACTTGGTGGGGATGTGATCAGCACCACGCTGGCCACCTTTACTTCCCAGGACCGCACCTGGTACCCACTCAAAGCTGGGTCGACCTGGGAGTCAAGGCCATTTTTGTGAAGAAAGAAAAAAAAAATCCGGCTCAGTCAGGATGCCAACCCATGACCTTCTGATGCGCAGGCGGGCGTCTAGCCGCCAACATCACAGTGACCTCCATTTAAATATAGGTCTAGCGTCATCTAAGCAGTTTGTCTCAGCATGAGGGGAAAAGACCCTTACTTTTTTTTTTAAGTCACGGCAGGCTCCGCATACAGACACTGGGTTGAGTCATTGCAAAACTCCACTGCATGGAGACACCTTCATCTTTGTCCCATGGTTTGCAGGTTTATTGGCAATGAAAGAGCTGATAGATTGGCCCATTATGCCTTGGATGCAAGTGGCCGGCCTATGGATCACATTAACATTCTTAATGTCCTTAGGGAGAAAGGATGATTGGAGGATTTTGGAAACTGCTTCTCGACATCACTGCTAACAGTGCGTGAATTGGGAATAAAGATCTTCACTGCCAAGCATGAGTGGCACACCTGACTATGAGAAGGGTAGAGTAGGACTCGTGCTATTAAACTGCGAAGGTCACGGGTAGTGAGCATACTTTTGATCTTTTCTCCAGGCTATGCCGGCGTAGTTGGTAATGAACAGGCAGACAGATTGGCTGGATCTGCACCACTGGGTGAGGAATTGATACATGACAAGGCAGATGGGTCAAGACCCTTTGGTAACAAGCAATGGAATCAGTAAAGAAACAAGATTATTATGGCCTGAAAAGAATGAGGCACCTGGGTGTAACCAGGGGGTCTGGCCGGCTCACTACACTCAGAGGAAAGGCAAGACGGACATATAACCAGATTGTGACCAGTGCTATCAGTTTTGGAACTCTGGGCTGGCTGCTGAAGATGAGGACGGAGTACAATGGGAATGCCCTGAGGGCTGTGATGTCAGTTCTTGACTCAAATCAACTGGTACTATTAATTGCAGGACGCTCATGTATATGTTGAAGGGGAAATCTGAGCACCTATAGACGGGTGTGAAATGCCATGAAGATAACCAAACTCATGACTCTTTTTATTTTTTTTTCTAGGATGAAATCAAAGTGGTCATGGACATCCATACAATGGCCGAGAATGTCGATAGCTTCTTTGGTTCCATGAAAGAAGAGTCCAAACCCAGTCCTGAGCAGCCAGGTAACCTTACATTTTGATTTGCCGTTGGTGTCTGCCATTATTTGCCAGCTTGTCCCCTTATTAGTATGCTGCAGAATGAAAACTGAAATGTATTATTTCACCAGTTACTGCCTTATAGATTACAAAGTAAAATTTCGTGTTTAGAAAAACAGTTTTATCTTATCCACGTTCTTTGATATTTCTTTTAGAAGCATTTATTCTGTTGTTTGGATTTTAGTCATCTCTAGAGGCTAACTAGATTTGTTTATTCTCATAGATCTGAATCTTGGTTCTCTTAATGGTGAGAGTTTATTGGATGTCTTCATTTGCCTGTTTGTACTCGATATTATGTGTAGCTTTTGGGTGTTGTGTTTGATATTTAGGGTGCAATTTTCAGCCCATTGGTGACAATGGGTAAGAGGTTGTGAACATAGCTGACAAATTCGCAATACTGGGGTTCAAAATCACCTGTGGGCAGTTTGTTTTGTGCTGGTTTTGACATTGGTGTGAGCATCTTAGTGCTCAGAAAGCGGTGGCAAACTACCGAACATAAAATTGCCTGGGGAAAAAAACAAAACAATACTGGGGTTTGTTTGAGATGTCATAAAGAGGACATGGTTTTTTTTTTAATTTTGCAACCCAGTGTTTTATTTTTAAAAAAAATATTTGTTGTACATATTGTTTATTAACATTTTAGCTGTTGCTGTGTTATTCTGTGTGTGCTTTATTTATATGCCATGTCAACTTTGTCAGTCCAAAGGCAAGAACAGTGGATTGTATCATTTAAATCGTTAATTTGTGTTGCCTATAACAGTATTCTTGGAACAATAATGTGGTGGCTTTCCCTTGATTACTACAGTGAGAAATTTCGAATACAGGTGGCATTTATAATTTGTGACAAGTTGGCAGTGCAGGGGCTGGTTGCTACCTCACCAGATACAGTTTGTTAGCTGTAGAATCTAACCAGTCAGGCAGGTGATGAGGCTGAATGAGATCATCATCATCATCATCATCAATTTCCACTTCTGCTGTTAAGCGTTGTGGGGAGGAACAGTGTGCAATCCATTGCTTGATGGGCAGCAATGGCTATTGTTGGTGTAGAAACTCTTTAATATCATCAGTCCATCTTCTCCTAGGGCGGCCTCTTGCTTTCACTTCACATTATTTCATCTGTAGTGCCTGTGTTGGTAGTTGTTCTGGCTGCATTCTTACTGAATGAAAATGATCATTTGATCTTTTGTTTTTCAGTGAATTTGCTGCCTGGTGTTATTCCTATTTCTGATAAAATAATTTCTGACTTTCTCTAGTATGGTTATGATGGCGACTTTTCTCAAGCATCTATTTTTCACAACTGTAAATTTTTCGTAGGTTAACCTTTGATAATGTCCGAGTCTGGCACTGGTATAACAGTGTTGGTATGATTATGCTGTTTGTAATCTGAATGAGATCATTAGGGGATAAATTCCATATTTCTTTCTTTTCCTTCTCAGCCGTAGCTGCATAGGAATGCAGGTCACACCTGGCTGGTATAGTCGATACATGTGCTCTAATTATGACTTGTTAGGAGGTTGAACAGGATATCTGGGATCTTATGTGTTGGTCTGCCATCCAGATTGAGGTTTTTAAAATTTGAGGATGGTATAGTAAACCTTCAGGTAGCAACCTGGATGCAACAGAACTGTCCATCAGTTTTCCTTCAACCTTTTTATATCCGTCACTGGAGCATAGACCCTCAGACAATCATTGCCAAGTTGCCTTATCTGCAACACTTATGCACTCACACTCTAGGCTTTTTTTGGTGGTAAGCAACGGTATGCAGTACCAGCACTTTTTTAAAAACATTTTTATTGCTGCTATAATGGACACTTTGTGTTAAGTACTGGCAATTTTTTTTAGACACTGTAATGTGAGTGCCGAAACTTTTTTTAAGAAAAGAAAAGGTCAGCTGACTGTGATACTGACTTTCAACCAGATGTTTTCTTTAGCAAGGCTGCACAATAATCTGACTGCTGGCTTCACTGATCATGCGTTCTCTCCCTTTGTCTCAGCATAGACGTGGAATTGTCAAGTGAAATATAGGTCCCTTTTTTTTAATGCCACTGGTGCATTGGGTGTATGATGGTAGTTTTATAGACCTATCAGCACTCAGTATGTGATGTTGTGAGCAGCTCACTGGCTGCCCTTACCCTTAGGATATTGCTTGTTACACAGTTTTGGCTGGGTTGACCTGCGAGCTATGGTCAATTTGGGAAAAAATCTACCTTGTTGTGGATTCAAGCTGGTGCTTTTTTGTTTCTCATGGGGCGCACCGGTACACAATACCAGCACTTAGAAATTGTCCTTTTAAAGGCATAATTTTTAGTACTAGTGTAATAGGTACTTTGTGATGCATACAAGCAACTTTTATTAGACACCTTGTGATGAACACCAGCTCTCCCTTTTATTATAGAAAAAAGGGCTGATGCCAACACAAGTCAAAGTTGGGCCTGGAAATTGACCCAATTTTTAAATCTTGGCCGCGTACAATTTGTTTAAATATTTTTTTTACTGATAGTCATAATTCTAATCTTTACAGTGGTTTTATATCTTTATTGTCATTGTATGGCCCACATAATGTTTGTAACTATTTTTTTCTTCTTCCTTTTTTAATTTTTGTGTGGTAACCACATGATTGTACAAAAGTGAACATTGTGTTTTCTTTGCTTTCTGCTGTTGATTATGATTTTGCACTTGTCTTTTGTTTTGTTTTGGGTATGCTCTCACATTTTATACCTTGCAGCCTTTGTGTATCAGTACATATGTACATGATGCGAACACCGTTAATCTGTTATTTTTATGGGTATATATTTCAGTTTAAGTTAAACTATGCTTTGTTCACTTCTAGTTTCATATGGTTTTTATTTCATTATCTGTGTTTTATTGTACACTTGTTGTGAATACATGTGTTGAATGTTTTGTGTGTTACATCAAGCACAAATTAAAGCAAGATATTTTAACAAGATTTTTCCTTTTATTAAAAAATGATACATTTTTTAAATAAAGCTTTTTTTAAGCATACAATTCCAAATTTTAAAGGTAAAGGAATTATATATGTGTGTGTATAGGTATATATGCACGTAAAAGAGTACACACTCACTCTCTTTATATCTCTCTGGCTCTGTCTGTCTGTCCATCTGTCATCTTGTCCCCTGCAGATATTTTCCAGATATGAAGATATTTACCTCGTGCAAAACAAAACCTGTCATTTCAGTTTGTATTTACCACTTTTTAAGGCATAGTAGTAATTGGGGGAATGCAGGGGTGGGAGCTCTTGAGCTTGGAAATTTAGGGTTGCATGATTAGTGCACTCACCAGATCCTTTTTCAGGCAAGGATTTTTTTTCTGACAGAAAAACCCATTACTGGACTGTTTAGGTTAGTATTTTGTGTTTGCCCCCGACAGAAACAAAAAATACACCACTGGATTGTTCATGCTAGGATATTGTTTGCCCCCAACCCAAACAAATGTATCACTGGACTGTTAAAGCCAAGTTTTCATGTTTGCCCCCAACAGAAGAAATCCATCACTGGACTGTTGAAGCCAGGTTTTCATGTTTGCCCCCAACAGAAGAAATCCATTACTGGACCGTTCAAGCCAGGATTTTATGTTTGCCCTCAAAAGAAAAAAATTCTTTTACCTGAAAGCTGAATTTTAGCTAGTATTTTATTTTTTGCCCCCAGCAAAAAAATCATCTATCATTATGGCTGTTTGGGCTAAGATTTTATGTCTGCTCCCAACAGAAAAACATCTATCACTATGGCTGTTAGGGCTAAGATTTTATGTCTGCTCCCAACAGAAAAACATCTATCACTATGGCTGTTAGGGCTAAGATTTTATGTCTGCTCCCAACAGAAAAACATCTATCACTATGGCTGTTTGGGCTAAGATTTTATGTCTGCTCCCAACAGAAAAACATCTATCACTATGACTTTTGCGGGCTGGAATTTTATGTCTGCTCCTAACAGAAAAACATCTATCACTATGGCTGTTTGGGCTAGGATTTTATGTCTGCTCCCAACAGAAAAACATCTATCACTATGACTTTTGCGGGCTGGAATTTTATGTCTGCTCCCAACAGAAAAACATCTATCACTATGGCTGTTTGGGCTAGGATTTTATGTCTGCTCCTGACAGAAAAATCCATCACCATAAAGAGGAGTTGAAGAGGCGACTCCCAAATTTAAACCCAGCTTAACAGCTTGACCAGCCAGTCCTCTTACTTACCTCATGTGATTAAACAAATTTAAACTTCCCATGTTGTATTGCTTTCTTTTTTAAAATCCAACAGCGTCTGTGAAATCCATTAAATCGGAGAAGGACCAGCCCCTGGGAAGTGTAGGAGACTTTAGCACCAGTGCTGCAGCCCAGCCACCAGTGCCAAAGGGCCCTTCAAGACACATGGTGTATGCCACCCATTTCCCGATTCCACAGGATGACTGCTCCAGCCACGAGATCAACCAAAGAATGATCGTCTTGTATGGGGTGGGCAAAGCACGGGATGATGCTCGCCACATGTTCAAGAAAATCTCAAAGGAAATAGTAAAGCTCTTCGGCAAAAGAAACTGTATAGATGTTACTAGTGGAGATTTGGGCAAGGTAGGTTTCGCTCTCATTGTTTCATTACTTCACTCATGTTGTAGTGGTAATTTAAGCAAGGATATCCCATTCAACTCTTTTAGGCAATAATGGAGATTTATCAATGGTGAGGCATGCATGTAATAGCTGTAAGGACCACTTACTTTAAAGACATTATTTCTCTCTTTTTTTTTTTTTAAAGAATTAGTTAGTTAGTTAGTTGGGTTATCATCATTGCACTCCGGACATGTCCATAGGTGCTCAGATCCTCCCCTCAGTATGAACCCCAACGTCCGATGGCTAATAGTACCAGTTCTATGTTGATTAACAAGTCTTCTGGCGTAGCTGGTGTGCGTCTCGTTTTTTGCTGTGCCGATCTTAATTCCCAAGTCTGCCATTCTGGCGAGTGATGTGGATTCACTGCCACCAAAGTCCTCTATCCTTCCCATTTCTCTGAGGGCATTGATAATATCAGCGTGATCCATAGGCTGACCGTCGGTAGTGATAGCGGATCCAGCCAACCTGTCAGCTCTTTCATTTCCATCGACGCCTGCGTTGCCCGGAACAAAAATAAAGGTGACGCCACGCACAGTGGATTTCTGCAATGATTCAAGCCATTGTCTTCGCATTGAACCTGCCTGAACCCTCCGGATCATACTCATTGAATCACTGAGTATACATACGCGGGTGTATTTTTGTGTTTCAAGCCAGGCAAACGCTTGCGTCACTGCCATCACCCCCATCGTCATGCTGCTGGTTGTCACTGAGAAGGCGCCGTTGACTTCTTTGACTGTTCTGCCCGCTGAGCGTGCTGTAAATGCCCATGCGCTTCTTCTTTGGCGTATAATGGATCCGTCTGTATAGATTAGTGCATCTGCTTCGTCTGAATTTTCACCGATGAGAGCGTTGACCTCTGCATTAACAGCAACAGGATTCTCTTCTCTACATCGCCTGTTGAGTGTGACAGTACAGGAAAATGTACAAATAAACGCCTGAGGCACAGGTATCCATTCTGCACCGGGTATGATGTCGGTTAGGCTGCATATTTGCCTAATAACATCTTCTGCCCGACCTAGCCACGATTTTCCCCTCTTCAGTCTGTCGCCCTTTTCACTAAAAATCGCTTGATGCAGTGGGTGTTTCTTATCAGCACATAATTTGAGGTATGCCCGAGCCCTCCACATCCTGATCCTTTGGTTCATTGTTGGAAAGTCAAGTAAATACCTCATTGCTCCACAGGATGTGTCTCTTGTACATCCCAAAATAATGCGCATGGCTTCATTTTGCACCTTTTCGAGTCGTTCAATCTGGGTAGCACTGGCATTGAGGATGGCCAAAGCGTATTCAATGGGGGAAAGGACCAGACCGTAGAATAGAAGTATTAATAGTCTTTGCTCGATATTGGACTCAGCCATAATCCTCATTGCAGATAGACCTTTGCGTACTTTTGTTATCACATGGTCAACGTGTTCCCTGAATGACAAGCTGCGATCGAACCTCACCCCGAGAAACGTCATAACGTTGGTTCTGATCAATACATTATCACGCATTTTCACATCTGGTAAGTCTGACTTGACAATGTGATTGTTCAAAGAGAACCATGACACTGATGCCTTCGAAGGATTGACATAGGCATTGGAACCGTCACACCAGGCAGCAATTCGATTGAGTTCTTTGTGCATTGTGCTGGCGATCTCCTGTCTATCACGCCCTCGTCGATAAATCATCAGCAAATGACAAAGTCCTTCCCTTTCCATTCAACTGCTGCTCAGTGATCATCACCGTATAAACGTTGAATAAGACTGGTGATAGGGGTGATCCCTGTGGCAAGCCTGGACATATCGTTTGCGGTTCTGAGGACCAGCTACCACATCTTAGTACAATCTTTTTCTGGAACAGGACCGCAACAATCCAGCGGATCAGAATAGGATTGACTTCTAGTTTAAGCAGTAATTGCATTAAATAATCGTATGGTACTTTATTGTAGGCATCTTCAAAGTCCAACACTGCCGCACATGTCTCTTCTTTAATCTGAAATCCCTCGTACACATCGTAGGCGAAAACTGCAGCATTGAACCATGTCTCTTTATTCAACCTGTACCCTCCAAGTGTTGATGGAAACTTATCATGTAGTTCCAAGTAGGTGGTCAATCTTTGTGCGACAATTTTTTCCAAAAGTTTGCCAACAGTATTCTGCATCGATTTTTAAGAATTACTGTTTACTATATTATTATGGAGACCCAGGTTTGACCCCCCCCCCCCTAGTAAGACAATGGAGTTTTTGTGTCGGGGGGCAAAATAAAACATCCTAACGTGTACAGTCTGTGACGACAGCACTAGCCATGCAGTCCTAAATCCTCAGGCTCAGGATCGCCCTGTCTACACTGCCCTAGAAAGGTTGTAAAACAGACAGTAGAGCGACAGTAACTATTCATTACAAATATGCTTCTTGGTTTCCGCCTCGAACGTAGCAACGACAACAACAACAAAATGCTTGCTGCATGTTTACGCCACTAATGCAGAAACTGTAACCTGTGAAAGCTACCAGTTACTAGTACTACAGTGATAACTGCACGCATATCCTCAACACTGAAGTGACGAGCAAATTATCATCTGATACCCTCTTCATTATAACCGTTACCTGCCAATGCTTACACTTACAAATTGATTACACTTTGCCACCTGGGATGTATAGATTTGTTCTTGTTTCAGTTTTGAATATTTATGCTTGTCAGTTACCTTTTGTTATTTAATATAGCATAGATTAGTGTGTTGATTGTGACAGATTATAAATTATATGTTGTTAAATTTGATATATTTCAAGTGAACTTCTTAAAAAAAATAGTTGTCATAAGTCATATTGTGTAATCTGTCGTTGGAGTATTTAAAGTGATGTGGAATACCATTATTCAGTCTTGTGATATATTAACACCTCATATGCAGACATTTGTCTTTTGATGTACTGTTTCCTCATTCCGTGTAAACCTATCCATCCCCAGCATATTTTCTGCTGTGATAAGCTTATTGCAGCGGGTCATATATTCATTTAGGAAAGACTTTTAAAGTTCATATTTCTTGCAGTTTGGTGTATAGTACGCATATTCATCCTGTCTGAGTACTTGTACGTTACAAAGGCCCCTAAGGAAAGCAAACAGAAGAAAATAGTAGTAATATTGTGGGCTGTCATGTATGTCTTAAGAGGCAAGGGTTAGTGAGAGACTGGCTGCCATGTGCTGGAAAAGATTTTGCTCATCTGTGTGGTCATCAGAGTCTCAGATCTGCAGGTTGCTTTCTGTTGATCTTTAAAGGGCACATGCGGCTTGTGATTAGTGGAAAGTTTTACATAGAAAAGTTCTACCTACGGATGTATGGTGAAGCAGTCATGTGCAGGACGTGTTCTGCCCCTGCCTTCCCTCGAGGGCCGATCAGTCTTAGCATAGCTATCTTGTATGGGTTCTCTAGGACAACACCTGTTGAAAAGAGGACACCCCACAAATAAGGCAATGTCATGTCCCAGGTAACCAACTGGGAAGGCCAAGCCTAGTGAACAAATGCCTGATGAAGTCAGATGTGTCAGCCGAAAAGTGCAAATATTGCGGCTGTGCTGTTAACAGGCTCAACGCAGTTTACCTCACTCAGGCAAATAATGGAGATGAAGAATCCAGCGCAGAACTTTGTCTTCTTTCTTCAGCCTTCCTTGTAGGGCTTTTCTTTAACATTCTAGTTTCCTTAGTTTAATTGGTTTTTTCATTACCTCTTTGGGGATTGTTTGCTTAGAATGTGGCAGTTATATTACCATCTTCTTTGTCTGAAAACTATTGACACTACTGGTTGACCAGACAATTCTCTGATTTCTTCAGCTTTCTTATCATATTAATCAAATGTGCTGCATTAGGGTACAATTACATCAAACTGTGTGTGGGGGGATACAGTTGCTAGTAGGAGAGTATGAAACCGTGCACTTCTGTATTGTATGAAATAGGTCTCTTCTGCTTTATTTTTTTAATGTTTGTAAATGCCATCTTGTTTAAGGTGAAGAAGAAGAAAGAAAAAGAAGCTAAGGAAGGGGAAGTTACTGTTACACCATCAATGTCCAATACAGCCATAGCAACACCAAACTTTGACAGCCTGCAGCAGAAGTTCTCCAAACTGTCCTACTTTGATCAGCACCAAGTCACCGCCCAGTGCACATCTGCTGTTCTAGACCAGATAAAGAGTTTTACAGCTGGCAACTCAAGTTATCTTCCCCTTGGAGACAATATCTCCTTTTTGTTTGATCTCATGCAGTCAGCTCTGAACATCAGCGGGTTAATGGACTTTATTATCAGGGTATGCACTGTTTCTGTAGTTTATTTGTGCAAATTAATTTTGTTTATTTTAGTAGCAACATTAATTCTTGAATGTTGTAGAACCAATTTTAACATACGGCTGAGAATCCTGGAATCTTGTATGGCGAACCATCTGTCTGCTAAATTGTATTTAACATTTCCTTCTGCCAACCCATCGATAGTTTTCTCCTTTTGTTGACCCCCATTTCTCACAAAGTCATCTGTTTTTGTTAAGCTGGCAGGCCTGTACGCTAGCAAATCATTGCACCACTAATAATAAAAATAGTAGACATGGTACGGTATCTACACCTGAGATACTCTTCTTCTTCCTCCTTTTTGATGTCTAGTGGAGCATAAACCCTCAACAAACTTATGGTGCCTAGATATCCTATCTTTACAGTTGTCTGCAGCTCTATCTCTTCCACGCTCTCCCCCCCCCCCCCCCCCCCCCACTTCACTCACTAATTCCCTTACTATGTTTTTTTTGGTTTTGTATTCTACCTCTATTCCTTTGACCCCATGGATTCCATTGAAAGAACATTCTAGTTATATTGTTTTCCAGTTTTGTCAGTGTGTGTTCTAGGCCATTGTCTTGTCCTAGCCTTTTGATTCACCTGTGATGTAAATTTTTACATTTGTTTCCAGCTGCTGAAGGATCTTGTTGAAGTGGAGAAGGAGCTGCATCAGAAGGAGTCTTTTCTCATGATGACTTACACCACAGAAGTCTGCCTCAACATTGTTGCTGTCCTGCGCAAGTATCATTCCTACTTGCTGAGCCCACTAGGATTGAGTTCTGAACTCTTTATTGGGTGAGTACTAGTGATGATACTTAGACTTAGTCGAGGTTTCAACTTCACTACAATCTGGTCAACCTATACTTGCTCCGCTCCTGTGCCAGTGAAAATCAAATAAAATGTCCCTCACTGTCCCATTTGAAAAACTGGTGAACAATTGTCCCTGCACAATCAAGAAATATGAGCACACAGTAAATGCATATGGCAGTTGCTAGAGGTGCCAAAACCAACAGTCGCCACCAGAAATGCAATTTAGGTATTATGGTTCACTTGATAGAGGCTGTCTGTGTCATTGTTCTCCAACAATTTTTGTGAAGTTGGAACCATGACCAAAGACTGAAAGGTGGAAACCGTTATGCTCCATGAATAGTGGCAAGCATCGCTTCAGAGGTCCCCGGTAGTTAGCATCCTTTGGATATTTCCCCCGGGAAATGTCAGTGTATTAGGACATGAGCAGGTAGATAGACTCACTGTTCTGCACAACCTCCTGGTGAATTGATGCATGACAGTAGGTGCCCTTTGGGCGTGGGTGAACAGTGCGGAAGCACAGATGGATAATGGAGAATGGTACTGCGAAGTGCGACCAGGGGGTCTGGTCGACAATCAGCACTTAAGGGAAGGGTGAGATGGCTATAAAATCAGACTGCTATTGGTACCCCTGGAACTGGAACTCTGAGCTTGCTGCTGAAGATGGCGACGGAGCGATTATGGGAATGTCTTAAGTACTAGGATGTTGATTCCTTTATTAAACATTTAACAGTAAGACTCTAGAATTGCCATGTGGGAACGTCCCAAGTGCTATGATGTTCATTCTTAATTAATTAAAAATTTAACATTAAGACTGTAAAAGTCACCTGACAGCTTGCAGGCTTCATTGTGGCGGAACAGATCTGCTGCCCCCCTCACAGGCTTGTCATACAAACTGACGTATTAGGGATGTGTCCTTCGAAGTCAGTGCATCTGCCTGAGAGATAAGGAACCAGCAGTCTGCATACAGATAAACCAAATCTGTCAGATGGATGTGCAAGGATAACTCAGGTTCTGGAATGAGACTAACGTCCAAAAGGGGACGAACAACCAGGACTTGGCACTGGAGTTTACAACCGGCGAATGCAAGGAAGAAAGGAGACACCTGACAACGCCAACAACTTGAATCCCTACCCGGTGGATTTGGAAAAAACAATAGTCCTGGGCTGCCAAGTCAATGCAGCCTCAAAATGGGTACCACAAAATGTTGTGGGAAGTAAAGGGTGAAGGCTGACCATGTTACATCAAGTACAGATGGGCCTGTGTCAGGCATTATATACTCAATAAGTCACTGGCATAATTGGGTTCTTTTTTAACTCAACACACAGAAATGATACAGATTCCATTGCAGTTGTGATTGTTAGACACAGAAATGATATAGATTCCATAGCAGTAGTGATTGTTTTATTTAATGTAATGTAAATGTCACAAAGATTATTTAACCAGCTGGTAAATGTGTCTGTCATTGTTACTTGCAGGCTGACTGACATTCTCAAGGTAGTCAATGTCTGTAATCCCATCTACTGCTCCACTGCCGAAAGATGTGTTCTCACCTACCTCTATGATATCTACACCACATGCGCACCTCTTCAGGTATTGTACTTGACATAATCATGAATTTATCAGTTACATTGTTAACTCTTTCAGTCCCAGAGGGTTTATCATCAGAGGCTCAAGGGTAATGAAGAGAGACTTCAAATCGGCGCAGTTTGTGTTCATTTGACGTCCAAGTCAGAAGCTATGAAGTTAAGATGGGTTTCTTGGGATTGAAAGAGTTAAGAGAGTACCACAGAGCAGAGCACTCACTCCGTCAACTTTAAAAGATAGCGTCTGAGGATGCACTCTAAAACTGTATGATGGGAAAAGCAAGGGAAAACCACCACATTATTCCTTCCATGAAACCTACTTTAGTAGCAGGAAAAACATTATTTCTGGTTAGCCATAGAAACTCAAATACTTTGGCCATTTTAAACACTACAACAACAGTTAGTTGTGTATCCTTTACAGGACGTTGCAGAACCAACTCCAACATTTTTGGCTGTTGTGGTTTTTCTAGGCAAATTTTACGTTTATTAGTTTGCCATTGCTTCTGAACAGTCAGTTCTCGGTACCACTGTCCAAACCAAAGCAAGACAACTCGTCTGCACCTGGGAATGAACCAGTCGTCTGTGCATGATGATAAAAATACTACATTCTTTGTTCTTTGTTGTTGTTATTTTTTTTTTTTGCATTTTATTGTTTGTCCAGCATTGTTATTTTTTTCCTTGATTTTTGCATTGAGTTAACCTTTTCAGGATTTGTTTTTATAACCTAGATAAGTGAAGAAATTTAAATTACATTTCATTTTAAAGTGTAGCTATTAAATTATTTGCTGTTGATGTGGAAGGCGTTATATTTTGCATGTGCTGTTGTGAAGCCTAGGATATATGGATATACAGAAGATCAGATCCTATCCCGTACAAATTAAAACTATATACAGAGGTTCTAGAGAGGCTAGGAATAAAAACAGTTGTTGCAAGAAATAACAGAGCCAGGTGAGTTGAAGGAAATTAAAGAGCCAGGTGATTTTAAAGAAATAACAGAGCCAGATGAGTTGAAAGCAATATCAGAGCCAGGTGAATTGAAAGAAATAACAGAGCCAGGTGAAATCTTTTGGTCACATTAAAAGGATGAAAGATATATCAGAGCCGTTGAATATTTTGGTCACATTAAAAGGCATAACACACTTACAAAAACTATACTGATGGAAGAGCTGAAAGTAGGCAATCAAGAGATAGGCTGGGGAAAAAAGTGGAAGGATGCCTAAAGTATAGATGGATTGCAGTCTGAGAGAGCAGGAAAAGATCTCAGACCGTCTGTGTCACCAGCCCTGTTTTTGCTTTGGTCGCTGCCATGACCTCTATAGTCAGATAATCTGTGTTTTCGGTGATTGTATTTCCCATCTGTGTCTCAGTTATCCCTTTATTTATGAATGATCCTCAGATGAGACACTCCGAGATCTTCAACCCAGCATACACGAAGATGAAGGCCACCTTGTTTGCCCAGATAACTCCATCCTCTACCAACGCCAAGTGGGATCAAAATGAAATGAAGGAAATCATCAAATCTGCTAAGTCAGTTACTGTGATGTGCATTTGGTCCCCTGCAATATTGGCTTTTAACTGAAAAACTAAAAACTAGAATTTCTTTAAAAATTGTGTATATTTATTTTTAGATGTTGTTCTTCTTCTCCTCCTCCTTTTTGTTCGCCTTCCTCTTGTTTAAGTTTCTTTTTCTCTTCCTCCAGTTACCTCATTGAAATGTTGGGGGAGATATGAGGAGCTCGTGTGTACTCTTTATTTGTGCCGTTTAATTTGATCTTTATTTCTTTAAGTTCTGTTTTTGATGCCGTCATTCCATATACTGCATGATCTTCCCTTTGCTCTGTGTCCGTTGCATTTCTTCAGCTTGGCTCTTTGTGGCAGTTAGTGTCAGGGAATTCATTTTTAATTTGATCTTTTCTCGTTACTGTGACAGGACAGCTCTTCTAAGACATCATCTCTTCTCGGCTGTTCTGATTTAAAATGGAGGAAATGCATGACAGAACGTTAAGCTTCAAAGTTATTTTTGCTTACTTCAGTGCTTTGCTAATGCAGTTTCCACTTTGGACTGTGGTCTACAGTTTCGCTGCCCGAGCTACTGAGTTAAGTGCTTGGTGCAGCCCTGTGAACTGTGTTTTTCCTGGGAAATGCCTTTTGTTTGTTCAGCGGTTGTGTCATGGCGTTCAGTCTGGCCGGTAGCCAGTTTATGTGTAAGCTGGTGATATTCCTTATGTAATAATTCTATGTGTGTAAAGCCAACTTTGGCACCTCTGGCAACTGAAATGTGCATCTGTTGCATGGGCATGTTTCTGAATTGTCCCAGGACTAATTGTTTGTTCACCAGTTTTTCCAAATGCGACAGAGAGGGACATTTCATTCGATTTTCGCTGGCACAGGAACGGGAAAACCCAATTGCAGTGAAGTTGAAACCTTGACTAAGTCTTTCTGCTGTTAGGACTTGGCTTTCTTTAGTTGTCACTGAAGAGTCTATGTTTGACATTGGTTGGACAAAAAAAAAAAAAAAACCCAGTTATTATTAGATTTGCATTGGTGTTTAAAAAAAAAGGGATATTTCTATAAGTAAAAAGTGGCATTATCTGTCCTAATAACTGTTTAGATTTTAATGATCATAAAAAATTTGCCTGTAATGGTTTGATGGATAGTATATAATTTCTAAAGACTTGAAATGTCAAATGTGTAGATGTGCGAAAAACAAAAAATAGAACTGCCTACCCAGAAAGCATGTTATAAGAGTCGACTAAATGGGAGCTTCCTTCAAAGTTGCAGTGCATTTGCCTGAGTGGCAAGGAACCAGCAGTCTACCTACATATAATCCAGATCTGTTAAACAGATGTGCACACAACACTCAGGTTCTGTAATAAGACTAAAGTCCAGAGCTGGACGAATATAAGCAGAACCTTTCACTGGAGTTTATAGCCGGTGAAGGTGAAGAAGAGAATGAAGATGTGTAAATGTTTAAACCAGTGTAAATATGACTTGTGTGAACTTTGAAGATGTGTAAATGTTTAAACCAGTGTAAATATGACTTGTGGGAACTTTGACGATGTGTAGATGTTTAAACCAGTGTAAATATGACTTGTGTTAACTTTGAAGATGTGTAAATGTTTAAACCAGTGTAAATATGACTTTTGGGAACTTCGAAGATGTGAAGATGTTTAAACCAGTGTAAGCCCGTCTCTCTAACATAGTTGGCTAAACCAGATTGCGCGGTGAGCGGGTGACGAACTCCTTGTGGTCCGGGTTCACTCCCGGGGGTGGGCAGAAAAGCCACATTTCTTCCAGATTTACGGTATTTAAAATGGAATCAAGACCGAAAGGTTGCGATATCCATAATACCGAGCCTAAGGGTTAATAACTCATGGCTTCTGGATACTAAAACAAACAAACAAACTAGTGTAAATATGACATGTGTGAACTTCGAAGACCTGTAGATGTTTAAACTAGTGTAAATATGACTTGTGTGAACTTCGAAGACATGTAGATGTTTAAACTAGTGTAAATATGACATGTGTGAACTTCGAAGACATGTAGATGTTTAAACTAGTGTAAATATGACTTGTGTGAACTTCGAAGACATGTAGATGTTTAAACTAGTGTAAATATGACATGTGTGAACTTCGAAGACCTGTAGATGTTTAAACTAGTGTAAATATGACATGTGTGAACTTCGAAGACCTGTAGATGTTTAAACTAGTGTAAATATGACATGTATGAACTTCGAAGACATGTAGATGTTTAAACTAGTGTAAATATGACATGTGTGAACTTCGAAGACCTGTAGATGTTTAAACTAGTGTAAATATGACATGTGTGAACTTTATTTGCTGCCGTGTCTCTCCAGATTGCCGGAGGAACCCCACAAACTACACAAAAGCCTGTGTGACTGTGCTGCCACACGATACAGTTTTGTCTGTAATGTCTTGCTGGAAGTTGTCTCCACCCCTGCTGAGAAGTATGTCAATGGGTTCTTATCTGTTTTGTAAACTGTGTTGTAGAAACCTTGTGTGGCTGTCACAGTTTTTTGTAACAGTTTGTGTTTTTTGTGCGTTGTATTTTTATTACTGGGGTAGGAGCCTGTCCTACTACTAGGCGCGTCCACCAGGTGGTGATGGTGAAAAGACCTTTAGATATAGAGGTTAGCCACAAATATATTAAATGAGTGGCCGTGGACCAAAACAGGTGATGGTCATTGAGAGGAGGCAAGTTAGTTGGTCGGACAGCTAACTCTATAAAATACCTCAAAACTCTACGATATGGCCATCGGCCGGTAAGAGGCGCCATAACCTCTTCCCCCTGCTGCCTTGCAGGGTAAGTCTCTTTAGACAAATGCTATGGGGGTCAAACCATTTACAAACCCGCAGGCTAGGGGAAATCACTACTGTATTATCCTTAGAAAATCATGTGTCGAGTGTGTTATTATACATGCTGCAGGAGATCGCAGATTGTGGAGAGGCATGATCGCTCACGCCTGTTGGCAAGGCACTTGATGATGATAATGGTATTTTTATTTCTGAATAGATTGGAGCATAAATTCATCTTGATTTATAACTTTGTAACAGCTTATGTATGTGAGCTTTTTGTAATTTTTTTTTAAATTTATCAACATATTCATCATCATTACCATGTAGCAAATCCTTTGCAGGACACCACTATCATTAGGGTCTGCCTGGAAAAAAAAAGAGCTCAGTTGCTCACCAGCTCTCCTTACCTGTGCTCATCTTCATGTGTGTCAGTCCCTGCTTATCCTTTCTGGTATCATGCCTTCTGCTATTATTTGTTCCCAGTCTGCCATGGTGCCTGATATAGCCCAAATATTTCAGCTTCCGGAGCATGGTGCTGTTTACTGGCCAATCATCCTTGATGTTCAAGATCTTTTAGAATATTGGTGTTTGTTTTCTTCTTTGTCCATGGCAATCTCAGAATCTTTCTATAGCATTTCAGCTCAAAAGCCCCAGTTTTTCTACTTAATGACTGATAAGCATGGTTGGCATATTAGAACATGGAATTCTGTTAAACTTTCAAACACCCAGCCCCCCTTTTTTTCCCCCCTTGAGTATTTCACAGTTGTAGTTTTGTAAAAACTTGTATAAGCTGTGTATTATTTGTGTTTCTGTGCAGTCTAGAACTCATTTTTCAAATCTGCCTTGTGATTTGTCGCTGAGTTTTTCATGGTCTGGTAACATTTCATTTTATATGAGTGCTTGAGCTTTGTTTCTCTAGAGACTGCAGCATAACATATTTGCATTTCTTATGGTTTATGGGCAACTCCAGACAGAAATTGCCCTTAACAGGACAGTTGATGCATTATGTTTTGGTTTACAGCTAGGCTGTGATATCTACCAGCATCTACCAGCCCAACACATCCATTTTTAGTAAATTCTAAATTAGCTACCTTATTAAATGCCTTTTAACGGGCGGTGGGTCTTTTCCGTTTCCTTTTTCTGCTCTTCCTCTTCCTCCTTCTCTTCTTTTTTTTTTTTTAATTGGGGGTCAATGGTGATATAAGGTATTGCTTCTTGTTCTTCTTGCTGCCTTGGCTATAGACACATTGTACTGTTGTAGAGTTTCTCTGATGTTATCTTTCTGTTGTTCTTGGTCTGGCTCATGTTGTACATTTGCCTTCTCTTTTGATGAATGTCTTATGTGGTATGTCACTACCAGGCATTCATTCTAATTAGGCAAACCATGTTTGCAACAACAACAAGAAAAGGGGAGAAGGTGCTTTAGCGTTTAGTATTTGTTTTGTGCCAACTTTTTTTTCTTATGACTTAATTCCTGATTTTTGTCTTTTCTGGTCACCAATACAGTCATTCTCAGGCATTCGTTTTCATACCTTAGAAGTGTTTGACAGCTGTGTAACGTAACTTGTATATGCTCCGCAGCCTCCGTGACATGACTGACCTTGTTGTGCTATGTGCTGAATTGACTGCCCATTGTAACGCCCTCAGCCAGGAATGGCTAGGAGTACTCAAGGCACTGTGCTGCTCGTCGCAACAAGATCTCGGCTTCATAGATGTGCTCACCACAATAGATGTAAGTGGCTTTTTTGTGCTCATTTTTGTTTGTTAGCTGACACTTCATCTCTATGCCTTTCATTGCTCAGTCAACCTAAGCAATGGTGAAAATGTGGGGGTGACAAGTTTTTTTGCTTCCCCATTTTGTGGGGCTTTTTAGTCTAATTTCTCTGGAATTCCAACCTCAGCAAATGCACAAACATGTGCTAATTGGTCACATTACACACTAGTTAAGTAATAGCTTTTTTTTTCTACCCTTTATGTTTTATACTGAAATCAGGTCTTCTTTGATGAATTCATGTAATATTGTTGTTATTCGTCCATCACAAATGATAAAGACTACTTTTCACCCAAAGTAGTAATGATCAATGATTTTGAGTACAATAATTGGATGACAGTGACTTGCGCAAGGACTTGGATTTAAATGAGAACGAGTTGCACAATTCGTCAACCACACTCTCTCGCCTGCGTCCATCTTGATCCAATCCAGGACAATGTTGGGACCATTGGAAATGGGCCTGGGCGCAGTGGGTGAACATGGTGGCTCTGCCTTGCTGGAAGCTCTTCTCAGAGCCTGCTTCTTGTCTTTTGAACCAAAAGAGGATTCATCCACACAGTCCTCTGAGTCCAGTCTTTGCATGCATGTAGGGTAATGTTGATACCGCTGGTGGAAGGGGCTGCGATTTTAAGCTGGATTTTGCTGGGACTGGTCTGTTCTAGTAGTTTTAACACTGGACAGTGAAGGACATTTTGTGTGAATTCTCACAGATGCATGAATGGAATAATAATGGTATGGCTCCTTTTGCCATGAAGTTGGAACTGTAACTAATAACTAACAATATAATTTCTCCCATGTTCATATTCATAGTTCCTTTTGATGCAGTCATGATGGTGCCTTTATTGTCTCCAAATCCCAGCCTGCCCTGGACATAACCCCCAAGTTTGCTCCTGTAGATTTTAAATTTTAACATCAAATCGTTAAAGCTGTTTGGAAATCCAAAAAGTGATTAAAAACACGGTTGACTGCAGTCAAGTTGATACCAAGAAATTAACTCACTGAACTGTCACTAAGAAGCTTAACGAAGTGGGGAAGAGAAATGACAATTACACACGCACACAGTGGCGCGGTGATTTATGTCACAGGCGTGAGGGGAAGTTAAGTCCAACATGATGTGTATAAGGAGATACTCCGTACGTCACTCGGGCGCCAGTCCTTTACTATCCTGGTTGTACAGAACCTCACGCAAGACCCCTACAGCACGTCCTCGTCGTGTTTCACGGATAATGTCTCAAATGAGCATTAACAGAGATGTCAGGGGATCTCGGAGTTCGGCGGCCCCCAGAGATGATGTGTCCTTGTGGCTCTCATCAGCCCGCCCCCAAACGCTTGGGTGAAAAATGTTATCAAAACTCATTAGGAACATGAGTAAGTTTGCCAAACGTACAGCCAAAATTACAACCCTTGGTTAAAAGACTGCGGAGTAAAGAGAACATTGTTCACTGCACATCCTCTGTTAACCCTCAGTGTCGTCGTCACCGCGCTGAGATACACCACAACAGCAACCATCCATAGGCTGGCCATCCTTGTACATCCTCAGTTAACCCTCAGTGACGTCGTCACCGCGCTGGGGTACACCACAACAGCAACCATCCATTGGATGGCTAAGCCTAAATGTCCGACAAAACTAGATCATACGGATCAAAATCTGACCATCAAAATTTGCATTGAACTCAAAAAGACCGAATGTCCACACCCAAAGACCCCACTCGCCCGAGTGTTGGGACAAAACTGATAACGATATGTCTGATGCAGGATGTAAGATTCTGGCGGGCTAACAGCTCGTCAAAGAAATTCAACGTGCGAGGAAAAAAATAATGTACCTATCTATGTGGTCACAAAAGTCCAAAACCCACGGGCTGCTCCATTGCTGACTTCCAGAGGGCGCAGACCCTGTCGAGCGGGAGGCCTGATACGGTTGTGAGGTTAAGCAGGCATGTGCAGGACGTGACGATTCCTTGGGTGAGCCCAGAACCAGAGCGCCATGTGCCGGCTCTGCATGCATGGAAGCCTCCTTGGATGGCGGGGAATGCCCATGATCTGCCCCTGCCTTCCCTTGAGGGCTAACTGTTCCACAGGGGACTGCCCCAAAGGGGTACTCCGGGGGCAATACCTGCGGCGATGGAGACAAAGTGGACACCACACAAGTCAGGCAACGTCTCGACCCACACAAAACAATGGCCACAGTCACCCTAGAAATAGGCCTGACGTCTTCCTTCGAAGTCGGAGTACAGCTGCCCAGGAGGCAGGGAAATTAAAAACGGTTGTACACGCAAAAATCAGGTCCAGGTGAAAGCCAAAAGTCCAACGGACGATTATCCTGGACCTTCCACTGGAATTCACAGCCGGTGATCAATAAAAACACGCGCACAAAAATTGGACGTTCCAGCCTGAGCCTTTCACGATACAAGCCACCAAAACAACAGCAACATGGGTAGAATATCCTGGCCACCAGTCCCTACACAGAGGACTGCTTTGGAGCAGAAATGGTGACTAAAACAATTGCTAATATTGCAAACATAAACTAACTGGTGCCTGCACAGAAAAGATGAAATTATTTGGTAAAATAGAATCACTGATATGTAGCTTAGGGGGAGAACTAAGCAAATCCTGTGAATTTAGAGACATTGTTGCTGGATAGGACAGACTTGACGAACAGAAGTGGAAGAAAGGAAAGAGATTCGAGTGGACTGAAAGGATAGTTTCGTTGCCCAGCTTCTGAGTTGAGTGCATGGTGTGACACTGTGAGCTGCTGATTTAAATTGGATTGTTGTTCTACTGTGACCAACCTGGTGGTGTGAATTGTAGATTTACAATAAAATGGCACGATGCCTGTTGTCGCAATATTGGTGATGCCATTATGTGATTAAAATTGATCGCATGTGCAACTGCTGATCTGTTGGTGACTTCTACCACCATCCATGATAACTGCATTTCTAATGTCGGACTGTTTGTGTTAGCACTTCGGATGGTTACCGTATGCTTTTAATAAGTGTGTATGCTAAATATGCTGAGACAATCTTTCCACAAGGGACTGATAAACATTCTATGTGTTTTGTTGTTGGCACAGGCTTGGTGCAACTATGGGGTGACCTGTTTGCAATGAAGCTGAAACTAAGATTACCAGATTACCAGAAATGCAGTTTTTTTGTAGATGAAAGTGGTTGATTTCTTGGATGTGTGGACCTGAAAGGGACAAATAACGCATCTTAGCTGAAAACAAGGAAACACAGGAGAAGACCTGATTAACATAATTTTCTTGATATAATTTAAGTTGTGATGTTACTCTCAGGTTGGGGATCTGTCCATCCATGACTCGCTAGCTGTGTTCACTGCCATGCTGATAGCTCGCCATTGCTTTTCTCTGCAAGACTTTGTTTACCACGTGGCCCTGCCATCTCTCATGGCTGTCTGTTGTCCAGGTATGTATTAACCGATAGTCAGGAGTGTATTTTGGTGTTAATTCCAGTGAATTTATTTTTGATTATATGGTAGTAGTAGAAGTAGTGTTATGTAATAATATAGTTGTCACATAACAGGCGCTGAACTGGGAAACAAATGAATTGATGCAATAAGAACATTTCACAGAAACTATAAGATGAATGTTGATGAGAGAGATCAAAGGTGCTGGGCTGAATTCCGTGCATGATATCGCAAAGATTTCACATGATAGAATGGAATTGAAGAATAGAGTGTGAGCCCAATGTGGCAGATGAACAGCATAGCAGGATGATGATGATAGTTGTCATGTGATCCAGAAAGAGGAGGAATAAAACATGCAGAAGATAAAAGAAGGATGTGTTTGGATGGGACTGGCTTCATAATCCGGTTAAGATCTTTGTGTATCTACAAAAAAAGTTAGATAATTAATCGCCAGATTATCCGCATCGAACAAATCCATAAGCACTCGGATCTCATTTTAACTGTATCCCTCAGCATGTGGCGACATAATACCAGTTCTGTGATGGTTTACTATTCTTCTTTGGCTACCTGTATAGTGTTAATCTTTGGTGACACCTCTTTTAACCTGAAGTTCTTGTACTCTTTTGAGTGTTGCTGATTTAACGTCGCCGTCTCCTGAATCATCTTCTTGTCCAGCCTCCTTGAGAGCATTGTGAATGTTGGCCCAACCTGAGTTAGCTGAAGGCCAGGGTTTCATTAGGGGAAATAGATGTGGAAGAAAAAGAATGCTACTGCCACTTCATTTTTTTTGGGGTAATATATTTTAAATGCGTTATTATGTTTGAATGCACCATTAAATGTTAACACTTAAATGATAGTATCCCTCATGTGGGTTCCTAGGCCCCATTGTGGGGAAAACAGGAATAAACTCACTGCACACCTTATATAACATGTCGTAAGAGTCGACTAATTGAAGTCATAGTGCATCTGCCCAAATGACAAGGGACAACCAACTACACACAAATAAGCCAGTAAAACAGGTGTACATGCAAAACCAGGACCCGGCACAAAACCAAATTCTAAATGGACCAACAACCAGGAATTTTCACCGAAGCTTAGAGCCGGTGGCCAAAGGAAAAGAAATGATAGTCAGACAATAGTTTACCATGATAGTCGGACAATAGTTTACCATGATAGTCAGAAAATAGTTTACCATGATAGTCGGACAATAGTTTACCATGATAGTCGGACAATAGTTTACCATGATAGTCGGACAATAGTTTACCATGATAGTCGGACAATAGTTTACCATGATAGTCGGACAATGGTTTACCATGATAGTCGGACAATAGTTTACCATGATAGTCGGACAATGGTTTACCAAGATAGTCGGACAATGGTTTACCATGATAGTCGGACAATAGTTTACCATGATAGTCGGACAATAGTTTACCATGATAGTCGGACAATAGTTTACCATGATAGTCGGACAATAGTTTACCATGATAGTCGGACAATAGTTTACCATGATAGTCGGACAATAGTTTACCATGATAGTCGGACAATAGTTTACCATGATAGTCGGACAATAGTTTACCATGATAGTCGGACAATAGTTTACCATGATAGTCGGACAATAGTTTACCATGATAGTCGGACAATAGTTTACCATGATAGTCGGACAATAGTTTACCATGATAGTCGGACAATAGTTTACCATGATAGTCGGACAATAGTTTACCATGATAGTCGGACAATAGTTTACCATGATAGTCGGACAATAGTTTACCATGATAGTCAGACAATAGTGTATCAGTTAATGTAATTAACTCTGCTGTTATTCTCTTCTTGTCTTCAGAAGGAGATGCTGAAGCGGAACCAGGAGCTCGCCTGTCTTGTCACTTACTTCTAAGGCTGTTTAAACCATCCTACCTCATTGCCTCTCACTGTGGTTTATCTGGAGTGAAAAACCCGCCCCTCATACGTAACTCCTGTGACAGGCATCTTTTGGAAGCAGCACATCTCTTTATCGGAGTGGGACCAATGCTTGCTGTCCTGAAGGCCATGCTGAAACTAGGTAACTTCAACATGTGTGGTTTTTATTTATTTCAACTCTTTGAGTCCCAGGGAACGCATCATACGTTCATAGGTTCCTACCTAGAAGCCCAATAATGTCCCCTGATGCATGATGAAAGGAATGCTTAAAATACCTTGGACAGCCAAAAAGAGCCACCAAAAGGGTTTGAAAGAGGCAGGAGCTCAAAGACAACTAATCACAGACATCAGAAGGAGACAGTCATCATGTTATGAGAGGAGGGAAAATGGAACATGTTATGACCACTGGAAAGAGGGATAAAGGAAGACAACGAGAGAAGATTCTTGACAGTCTTGTTGCATGGCATGGGTGTGTGTCAACACACAAACAAATATATGCTGCAGGAGATCGCATATTGTGGAGAGGCATGAGCGCCCACGCCAGTCGGCAAGGCACCTGATGATGATGATGAATGATGCATTATTATTTATACTTTGTGTTTGGTCCAAATATTTTAAAGAAACTTGACTAGAAATATTAACGTACAGTACAGTTTAGGTTATATGATTAAAAAGTGGTGCACTCACTACCTAGCAAGCTAACAAATACAGTGAGATATAAACTGCAAAGATATTTAACTTAAAATATCTGGGACAACAGTTATTGAAGATAGCAGACTAGCTAAAGAAATTAACATCTGATTCAAGAAAGCAGACTTAAGTATTAGGACAAGCAGCCCCTCCTCTTACAGCATAAAACAATACTGATCAGCACAAAGATATGTACAAAGCATACCCATTCCCGCTCAATGCTACCAGTGCAAGACACAGTCACTCACTCACACACACACTCACACAAAGAAAAGATCATTGGTAACCATTGGAATGAAATGCACAAGGAAGATTTTAGAAGTGACCAGAGGAGATAAATTCAGAAAGTCATACGGAAAAATGTTGGCACAAAACAAATTCCTAATTAATACAAAGGCAGCAAATAAAATGGTTTGTCCACTGAAAGAAAAGGTCTTGCAGTGCCACTTAACTACTATACAAGGCATATAACAAAATAGGAGAATAAGAGCAAGAACAAGATAGAAAGATGACATCAGAGAAACTCTGCATATTGACAATGTGTCTTTACATGCTGCAAGCAATTTACTTTGTAAATTGTTAAACCCGCCGCCCCTCTGCATTTTTTTAACATAGATGGCAAGATAGTTTTCACTTGGACAGAAGTAAAAATAAACAAAACAAAGATATTGATACAAATGTTAACTCTTATAGAATTTAGCTCGTACTGGAACACAAATGGTACTTATCACAGAGGGAATCAGCTGATACTGCCTTGGTTTGTGTGTGTGTCTCTTTTAACAGTAAGTAAAAAGTAAAAGTAAAGTTCCCTTTACACGCCCTTAGGCGCATCGGGCATATGGGAAGAGCACCCATATTTTTAAAGACCAATCGGCACTCGGTGGGTAATGTGATCAGCATTACGCCGGCCGTCTTTACTTTCCCAGGACAGCCCATCCTGGTACCCAGTTGAGGCTGGGTTGACCTGCGACGTCCCATACCACGATAAAAATCCACGCAGCCCACGCAGGTTTCGATCGCGGTACATTGGATTGCGAGTCGACTCGCAACGCCTTGGCCACGGACGCCGCCTTTTAACGGTAGTGAATCTAAAAAAAGAAGTTCAGTAAAGAAAGATAATTAATGAAGAAATTTTACCTTTTTCTGAAGTTTCTTCACTTTTTGACAATACCTTGGAACTGTGTAGTCTGGAGAAATCTACCCTCTACAGAAGGTACACCTAAGTTTCCCTCTTAGGGAGTTAGAAATACCATTTTAAATTAAATAATTTACTCTGATTGATTAAAATTGTTTGTTGGCTTGTTCTTATCAGTCTAGCGACATCTGGGCACTTTGCTGGGTAAAACACTAATCATGACCATCAAAAGATTATTAAAAAAATACTTGTTTGGTTGCAGCGGATGAGTCAAATGATGATTCCTCTAGCAAGGGAGGTTCCGGTAGCTCGAAGGATAAGACTGGAATGTACTTTGCCAATCTGTTACGCCAGATAGGTAATGAGGATGAGATGGAAGCTATGCTCAGGTAGGCCTGTTTGTCAGATGTAGCCAGATTTGGTTTTGTGGTCTACCAATTGCCTGGTTATTAGTCTTTATGATTATGTCGTTTTATTACAGATTGAAGCTTGGCGCTTGGAGAATTGAGGTGGAGGCAGTCACTGCAGCTCTGATTTGGATAGCAGAAAAAGTTACCAGAGGAATTATTGTGTCTGATTCTCAGTCGACACTGTGGAAGGTTCAATATGGACTCATGTGGCATGAGTTAATACCAAGCATCAGTATGCCACCATTGCTACGAATGACGTGGATATACTGTCCGGGATATGCAGGAGTGTTAGGGAATTAAAAAGCAGATTTTCTGGTTACAACTGTAATAGCTACGGGAACCCTGATACTGGACAAGGGAGATATTCTAAAGACCATATAGGAACGAGCGTTGACAGAAGACTTGAGATTAGATGAAATAACATTGTGCAAGAATGTGTGAACGAGGAATTAAGTGCGGTTTTGGCAAGGAGGGACGTAGGAGAGTAAAAGGACGACTAGTGAATAGTCAGTGTGCTAAGGAACAGTTAGCATCTACACCTTAAGACATTTGCTGCAGGAGACCTAGCATCTATGGTGTGCTATGATGTCAATTCTGAATCAGTAATCAAACATTTAGTTTGGGTTTAATCTCCAGAATAAAGGCTGGCTGTAGGCCAACTACATCCATCTCTCCCCCCCCCCCCCCTTTTCCCGGGCAGATGAACAGGCAGATAGATTGGCTGATTCTGCATGAGTAGGTGATGTGAAGATTTGCATGACAAGCTAGATGAGGTCAGGACCCTTTGGAAGCAAGTGAAAATACAGTGGCATGAATAGAACATTATGGTCTGACGAGAATGGTGCAGCTTGGAGAAGTTAGGGGATCTGGTTGATTCTGCACTCATAAAAAAGGCAAGATGGACACATAATCAAACTGCTACTGAGACCAGTAGAATTGGAACTCTTGGCTGGCTATTGAAGATGAGGTTGGAGCACCTATGGGAATGCCCCAAATGCTGTGATTTCAATTCTTATCTAAACCTTCAACCCTGTCTTTGGCTGTGTAACTTTCTTACCACTGAAAGCCATGAGAATGGTAATTTTGTAATGTTTCTAAACAGGCTTCCATGTATATCAAACATACCAATGTGAGGTTAAGCAGTCATATGCAGGACGTGATGGTTCCTTGGGTGAACCCAGTCATGTGTGGGCTCTGCATTCATGGAAGCCTGCTTGGATGCCTTCCCTTGAGGGTCGACCAGGCTACACGTGGTGGCCCTGGATGGGTTCTCCAGAGGCAGCACCCATAAATAAAGGGACAGAGAGGACACCGCACCAACAGGGCTGCCTCATGTCCCATGTAACCACCCGGGCTGACCCGGTAGACAAATCCTTGACAAACTCGGATGTGTTAGCTGAAAGGTGCAAATTTCGAGCTTCACATTCACAGCACATTGATGTCCCTTGAATGAAAGATGAAGAAGAATCCCATTGTGTTAAGAATTGTGAAACATTTTCACTCACCTCTAGGCCACTGCGCCACGCCACACCACATTGTCTTATTTTACTTACTATGAGTGAAAACAGAAAACCTTAAAAGCATGATTATAGAAATTGGTGCATGTCATCTTTAAACTGTCATTATGATGTCACCATGATCGTTTGCACTGTGATGTCACATGCTTATCGCTCTTGACATCTTGAACAACTGAATGGACAGGTTACAAAACAGTGGCATGGTTATTGTAATTTCTATCACACTTTTAAGGTTTTAATTTGGTTTTTGTACAGTGGAACCTTGCTTAAGGAGCATAATTCGTTCCAGAATCATACTCGTTAAGCGAAACACTCATTGTGTGAAACAATTTTTCTCATAAAAATAATGTAAAATACGATAATGCGTTCCATGTCGAAAAAAAATACTCACAAAATGCTATGTAGAACATTTATTCAACAAAAATTATATACATATTGTTTAGGAGAGTGCTCTCCGACTGGGTTCATGGACCTCAGAACCATGCAGTTTGGCCCCAGGACTGCCACAGGGATCCGCCATCTCGCCCGTGTATACGAGCAAGATTGCAAGCCTAGAAGCACCAGGAGTTGGAAGGATACAGACTTTTGTGGATGATATACTTGCAAAAAGGCAGGGGGAAGAGAGAGAACAAACAGCCCGGGAGCTACAAGTGACAGCAGACAAAGTAACTGAGTGGTATACAGCAATGAGGGCTGTCGTCCACCCGGAAAAGGCGTCAGTTTTATGGTGTTCTCTGGACAACATAATCCTTAAAGCTCATGTCCCAAGTCTCACGATAGATGGTAGAGACGTCAACAGAGAGAGCAAACTGAAGTATCTGGGAATTACATTTGACAGGAACCTGTCCTTTAAGGACCATGTGGAGAGTGTTGTGACGAGATGCCAAAAAGGACTTTGTGCACTTAAGACTATGGCTGCAATTGACATAGAGCAGAGAATGCTTTTCACACTATATCAGCACTTGATCCTGTCAGTGGTGGATTATGGCCTGGGACTGCTTACTTTCTCTAAGAGTCAGATGGACATACTAGAGCGCATACAGAATGCGACTATGATGGTCATTCTGGGTTGCACCAGAGACACCCCAGTGGTGTGTATGCGATACATTCTTGGTTTGCAGACGGTTGCAGGTAGGCACAAGGTGCTGCAGGCGAAGTCAAATCTTAGACTAGCTGCAAACACAGACCACCCTTTGCATGAAGCTCTGGGTGCAGTTAAGGGTCAACGGCTGATAAGAGGGAGGTCATGGATGGCTCAGGCAGAAGACACAATCAGACAGGTTTGCATCCTTGAGAACATTAGACGAGGAGAGGAGTGGGTCAAAGTGCCGCCTGAACAGTCAACTTGTGTAGAGTCATAATCACACTGAGCCGGGAATGCAGAGACTGGCCAGCAGGTGCCACAGAGGTGGAAATTCAGCAATTATTTCAAGATAAGGCTCGCTCAGAGGATTTGATCATTTACACAGACAGTTCAGTGTCAAGAGGCAAAAGAAGTGCTTGGGGCTCCTTAGCAAAAGTTAATGGTGGATGTTTGGTGCAGTAGAGCCTAGCATATGATACCACAACATCCAGCTTAAGAATGGAGGCCGAGGCGTTCACTGCAGCTTTCCGCTGGCTAGAGAACATGACACACACACACATCGTGATTGTAACTGACTCTGAAAGAATGCCGAGGAAGATTAGAACAGGTATGCTTCGTGCAGAGTGGCATGCTTTACTGCGGAGGACACATGTGAGGAGTATTGTCTGGATTTTTTCACTGGGGCATGCCAGTGTGTTGGGAAATGAACAGGCGAACAGACAGGCTGGCTCTGCACAACTTGGTGGAATACTGATACATGATAGGGCATTGTGGGAGAGCGTGTACAGTTCGGAGGAGCAGATGGATCACCACGGTCTGGTGAGACTGATGCAGAGGAAGTGATGAGAGGTTCTGGAAAATGCTCAAGGCTCAGAGGAAAGGCAAGACTGATGTTTAATCAGAATGCTACTGGAACCATTAGTATCGGAACTCTTCGCTGGCTGCTGAAGATTGGGACGGAGCGCTTATGGGAATGCTTCGAGTGATGTGATGTCGGTTCTTAAATCAAATCAAATCAAGGAGAGTGAATCATCTTTATTTTTTTCTTTAAACCCAGAACCAACCCACCTGGAATGCGAATTAGATTTGCAGAAAACAAAAACAAAAAGTCGAAATAATTATGATACATAGCTAATTATTTTTTTTTTCTAGAAAGATGTCTAGAGACATTTGTTTTTTGCCACGGCTTCAAAATTGGGTGAAAATGCAACACAGCTTTATCATTCAATAAATTTGCTGCATGCATAGCCACTTCCTTATTAGGGTGATGCTTCTCAATGTAAGATGCAACATTTTCCCATACTGTCAGCATTTTTCTTTTTTTGCCAGAAGATTGTTGCTTTTCTGTTAACTTCTCCTCTGAAAAACTTTCCTTCACAATTTCTTGCTGTGAAACACAATGCTACTCCATCAGCTCTTAGGTGGTCAGCTCTTGGCTGTGCTCTTCCACAAACTCTTCGATATCACTGTTATTTACCTCCAATCCCATGATAGTGGCCAGAGACAAAATCTTGTTGACTACAGGTTCCAAAGGTACTGTCTCGAACCCCTCAAAAGTCAAAAATCGACAACGCTCTCCGGCCAAAGCTTCTTCCAAGCAGAAGTTAGGGTTCTCTTGGTAACCCCTTCCCCTGCCTTGTCGATCATCTTGAGGCAGGCAATGATGTGGAAGTGATTTTTCCAAAACTCTTTGAAGTTGAGGTTGGTCCCTTCAGTCACCTGAAAACAATTCTTTGAGAAAATGTGTGATCACAAGCGACACTACAATGCTACTGGAATGTGTGCTAAACACAGACTGATGTAACTTGTACACAATCCGGGACCTTCCATCGCCTCGCCACTCGTTATGCGAAACGTTGCTCGTTAAGCAAGTCATTCTTTTGCAAAATGTTTTGCTCGTTATGTGAATTACTCGTTACAAGAGGTGCTCGTTAAGCGAGGTTCTACTGTAATTTCTATCACACTTTTAACATTTTCTGTTGGTTATTGTAATATCTATCACACTTTTAAGGTTTTTATTTGGTTATTGTAATTTCTATCACACTTTTAATGTTCTCATTTGGTTATTGTAATTTCTATCACACTTTTAACATTTTCATTTGAAGCCCTCTTATATTATGTTTAAAGGCTTAAAGCATGTTTAAATGTGAGAAAATTGACTTCATTGCACTGTGTTTTAGCCTCTGCCTCTGCTGAAACAATATCACACAATGTAAATGCTATGTGCTGCAGTGACAGCTCTCTAGATCTGCAAAAGATCTGCGCTCGCAGATTCCAAAACCGGACCCTTGGTATATGTAGGTAATCTCATTTTTCCTAACGGCTAATGCACCTTGCTTTACTTTCAGTGCGAGCTCAGGAGGACAAAGTGGCAAGGATGGACTGGGAAGCGGAAGTCTCAGTGAATTTGCCAAGAGGGCCCTTTCCGAGATTTGTCGCCAGGACTGGGTGCGAGAGAAATTCCTTCGCAATCCAGAAAAATTGTTTACCAGCGACTTGCTGAATGACCCCATTTTGTCTTATCGGCAGGTAAGGAGTATACTGTTGTTTGTGTTTAGGGCTTTGTGATCTTGCTGCTTGGTTTGCTCGCTGTGGTTGCATTTAACTGGGATTTGTATCAAATCTACTGCTTTGTCCCGCCATGACTTGTTTTATCTTGGAAATTAATGTATACGTATGTGTGTAAAGCATATTCCCCATTTCTCTGTTGTATTTTATGTTCTACTATTGGATTTATGGTTCCAGGCGCTTGCATGTAAAGTTGCGAAAGAATTTATCACCTGTCATCTGCCTGAGACCGGCAGTAGCCTAGTGGCTAGATGTGCGGCTGTCAGGCTAGAAGGTCTTGAGTTCAAATGCTCGTCGAGATGTTTAATTTTTTTTTCATTACATTTGACCTTGTCTCCCAGATTGAACCAATCTGGAATGGATACCAGATAATGGTACCAGGGTATTTTATTTGTGGGAACAAACTACCATGGACTGTGTTGGTGGAGGGGGCAGATTGTGAAGGGAATGAGATTAAAATAAGAAATGGTCAGAGAAAGGATGAGAGCTGAGTGACTGAGAAGAAACAAACTAAATTCAAATGATACCAACACAGTCCTGATTTCTAATACTATAATTGTGGAAGATTCTTCTTAAACTCTTTGAGTCCCAAGATAATTTAGCATCACAGGCCCAGTGGGTAGTAACGAAAGTAATAAAACGGCTCATCATGCGTTCATTGGGCTTCTAGGAAGGAACCTATGAACGTATAATGCATTCCTTGGGACTCAAAGAGTTAAGCAGGTGGGTCTTGCTAGTCACAATCACCATCGCCATGGGCTGTAATTCCCATGCCTCCTCTTAGCACAGTATAACGCTGTAGTCTGGAAAGACTGAAATTGCCAACACCCTACAACAGGCAGGTAATATCCTGGAAAGTAAAGGCGGCCGGCATGATGTTGACCACGTCGTCCACAAAGTGCCAGTTTGGTCTACATAAATATCAGTCTAGCGTGAAATACATGATGTGCCACTAGCATGAATAGGGTGCTTTACTTTATATTTAATGTCTGCCTTGTTTCATTCATTTATACTCCTTTTCCCCCCCTCTCTCCCTCCTTATGTCCACGCTCTTACTGATCTATATATTTTCACTGTTTCCAGTGTGTTCACACTTATGCAAACTGAATACCCAGTACACCCCCCCCCCCTCTCTACCGTTCTTTCTCTCTGCCTCTCTCTGTCTCTAACACATGCACTTTTCATTCTCTCTCTCCCCTCTGCTCCATCCCTCATCACTCTTGTTAATCCTCAAATTGTCATTATATCCATATAATCTCACCCATGACCCATTTGTATACTTATTCATAAACACATTACCCCCCCCCCCCCCACCCCACCCCCCACATGCACATGGGGGGAGGGAAGGAGAGAGAGAGAGAGAGCTTACATTATCCACATACAGTGTAACAAAAACATATAACGTTGACATGAAATTGTGTTCACTTATTGGCTATCTCTACCTGAATGAGCCCATTTAATATGTTAATGTTTATATTTTATCCATGTTGTACAGTAACACACTTTATGTTTAAATAAGTAATTTACAAAATAAATAATTGGTGACCAAGTAGTCTTGCTGAGGGAGAAGAACAGACAGCAATAAACAAACCAAATGCTTTAACCAGAGGCATGAATACGATTGAACATTTCAATCAAAATAGCTAAAGTACAGGTTACAACCAAGAGCTTTGACCTACGTCACAAATGCAACTGCAAATTTTGACCTAAGTCGGAGATACAACCAAATGCTTGACCCAAAGTTACAAATTCAGCCAAATGCTTTGACTAAAGTTACCAACACAACCAAACATTTTGACCAAAGTCATGTATACAAAATGTTTGTTTACTCATTCAGCACCAGTCAGCTCATCATGCGTTGATTAGTAATTTTATACATGATACGTTTTTCGGTTCTTTCCCAATATCTCGCCCCAGATGATGTCACAGGACAGTCCAGTATTTTCGACGGTAAGAGCGGGTTTCCCGCTGTGTGTGTATCTTCGTTGCGAAGCGTTGCCAACTGTTGCCAAGGCGTTGGCACGTTTCTTCTTTGCCGCGTTTCGTCTTCCGGAAGGCATCTCTCCAGTGCCTTGTGTGTCCAATTTCATTCCGGCGGGCATCTCTTCAGCGACTTGTGTGTTCAGTCTTTACCGCCATGAATTTCCTGGAATTAGCAGCATCAGTGCCTGACAAGGAGACCAGCATTGCTTTTCTGCAACATCATGGCATTCTGCATAGCACCAGACGTTGCAGTAATCATGTGATGTTGTTATCGCTGACAGAAAAAGAGGATGGGCATGTCGAAGAATACAACTGTGGAATAGAAAAAACGGCAGCTGCCGGCGACATAGAGTGTTTCATTTTCCATGATATGAGTTCTTTTAACAACCCCGAAACATTCAGAACTGACCCTAACCACAACTCACTTATGACCCATGAAACCTAGGTCTTACTACTGTATGCAGCCTAGGTCCTCCTCCCCAGCACCAAAAAAAAAAAAAAATTCACACTTAAAACAGCACTAGAAGCACAATCCGCATATAAGAAGCACAATCTTTATAGCACAGAACTGCACAGTAAATGAAATGCCAAATTACTAAATATATGATTCATCTACCACCCCCATGTTTGGGGGAAGCTATTGAAAAAGTACCCGTTTCCTTAACCCTTTCTTTTCACCCTGAGAAGCTGCGAAATCAACACTTACGATTGGGTCAATTTCCTCATAAATGTTACTTTTCGGACTTGTCTAAAGCAATCTGTTTATGAGATGCCTAGGTAATGTTATTAGCTGCTTTCACACCTGTGCAGATAGTTTTTTTAAAGCCATATTGTCATATAGCGAAAGTGAAAGAGGTCACTGGGTCATGGCAGGATTCATCTGACACATGTTTTTTTTTAAAGTCCTAGGTAATGTATTCTATCTAATGTTTCACCCTGTTTGAGTCTTATTGACTACTCCCTTAATATGTTTTTTATATATTTGGGACAGAAATGAATAAATGTAGGTAAGGTGGTATCATTTATAAAAAGCCTCTCAGCTTTAGAATGCTGTCCTTTTTTTAAAATTCTAATGTTTATGAATTATGATTTTTAATATTTATAAATTCTAATGATTTGATTGTTTAATGAGAATGAATCCACTGATGCTGGCAATGAAAGCAAATAAAATTAAAGCAGTAATACCAGGATTATGACCTGGAAAATGATGGATGATAAAGGAAACACCTTGAGACTCTTCAACATCACAGCATGAAAGGCAGCCAAGCATGCCCTAGCTCGGATACCAATCATCTGTTTAACCTGAGATGCCTAGTGGCACAAAACAAAATATGGACAGACAAAAAGGACAAAAGAGCAGATTTCTTCAGTATGGCTGTTCAAAAGTATGACAAACCTTTGAAAGATAAGAGGGGTCAGCTGAGCTGACTGGGAACCTCTGGTGTCAGGTGATGGTGGTAAACTTTTGATGAGTTGTTTGTTATTACATGAGTTAATGTAATACACATGTGCAGCTTGAAATCCTACATATATTTCTTTGATTTGCTGCATTGTAATTTTTTTTTCTTTTTCTGCATGTGATAGTTGGATGTTCCAAAAATAATGTTAAGCGAAAGAGAGGTATCCTTTTTCAAGCCTGTACTTGCTATTGTTTGTTATTTTCGCCACATTCCAGTACAGTCTTGTGTGCTAGCACAGGCTATTTTTGCTGTATGTTTTGTGCAGTTCTGTTACCTACTAACACCATCGCAGGATTTTGATTCTGCATAGCCTTCACTGGCTGTAAACTCAGTGGATAAGTTCTAGTTTTGTTCACTCCTAGACTTTGACCTCTTCATCCAGGCTTGAGTTTTGCACGCACATCTACTTTACAGATCTATTTTATTTATGCAGACTATTGGTTCTTTGCCTCTCAGGCAGATGCACTCTGAATTTGAAGGATACATCTCTAATTAGTCAACTCCTTCACAATGCTTGTTGGGTGGGGTGGTGCATTCTTTGTTTGCCACAGTGGAGCCCTGAAACCAACCCATGGGCTTTGCAGGATTGAACATAGAATAGAATTTTGAAGTTACATTTGTTCTTCCATGGTAATGAGGACGCAGATAATATATTGCATAGTTTATTGCCTTCTTAGGGTGGCGTTCCTGGTCCCATATTTGAAGAAATTCAGAATACGCCCTCTGCCCTGTAATAAGCATGCAGTAAAAGGTGAAACAAAATGGCGACTCTACTTATGGAGTGTACTCTCAAAGAACAAGCAACGTGCTGTGGTGTGTTTTTGTTGTTGTTGTTGGGAAAAAGGGCTGCCTGCAAAGGACATTCATAAGGAAATGCTTCCTATTTATGCTGACAAATTTTTCTTGAGGGCGCTCTAAAATTGTTGATGAAGTCCGATCTGGTCGTCCTGTTGAGATTGCAACAGATGCATCTGTGCAGCAAGTGGAGGAGATGATTAGAGGTGAGAGGCGAGTACGGGTTGACTCTGTAGCAACTGCAGTAGGGTGCTCCCATGGTTTGGCATACAACACAATGCATGATCAATTGACCCACCTTGGTGGGAGACATTTCGCCAGTGATAAAGCAGAGGGAGAGAGAGAGAGAGAGAGAGAGAGAGAGAGAGAGAGAGAGAGAGAGAGAGAGAGAGAGAGAGAGAGAGAGAGAGAGAGAGAGAGAGAGAGAGAGAGAGAGAGAGAGAGAGCAAAACTGACCACAACCAGCTGATGTGAACAAATGGGCTGACTGATATCAATTACCTGAATCAGTACTTTCTAACATAGTTTGACAGTTATACTCATGCAGGTGAGCTCGTTCAGGTAACAGAGATTTGGAATAAGTAGGTGGGATGGGAGCAAAGGATGGGACTTGAACAATTTTTTAGATAAAACTTGTGTTGGGCATAAGCTGATAACTGTGTTGTATGCTTGTGGCCATAAATGACTACTACTGTCTGCGGTGATCTTGCCTTGCTAAACTAACAGCTTTACTGTGGTAGATGTTGTATTCCAGTGGATTTGATGTTGACTGCATGGTCTTTAAATCTGTTCTGTAGCTGTGTCAACAATTTTTCTTTTGATTTCTGTGTTTTGTAACTACAATAACAGGAGCCATTGCAGTGCAGGGGCCAGATGCTTGCCTGAAGGTCTTAAGTTTACATCCGTATCTTTGTCCAAGGGGTGGGTGATCAAGTGGTCAGAATGTATGCCTCACACACACACACACAAAAACACTACATGGGTATATGACTGCAGCGATTCTTCTTCCTCCTGCTCATGAAAAGATATCACATCAAACGATAGCAGAACTGGCCAGCTTCGCATTACATTTTTTGTTCACTCATCTCAATTTGTCTTTGTGATTGGCCTTCTCTTTTGAGTTGATAACCCCAAGTCCTTGTAGGTGTGCTGGTATATTATCTTTCCACTGTCTTCTCTTCTCCCCCCCCCCCCCCCCCCCCCCCTCGGTTACCAGTGCAGCAGTAAAAACAAAAATATCTTTGGCTACATGTAAAGTTATGGATTCTATCAGTGTCTTGCGGCTGGCATGGATGATCATGCTTCTTCTTGGGATCTCTATCAGCATGTGTCAGTTCAAATGCTGACTATGCCATGATTTAAAAAAAAAACTGTTAAGAAACTTCTTTCATTGTTGTCTGTTTCTTTTTCTGTAAATTGTTGTTACATGTTTCAGTGTTTTCCCCTCTTCTTAAACGTGGCCAAAAAATGGTGACTACCTATTTTTGATAAGTTGTGTAATAGAAATACTTACATTTATGAACCTTTGAGAGATTAAAATTCATATATGAGCTGTTTTAATTTAAAATTGATATATGAGACAGTGGTTCACATATTTTTACACATTATGTCTAGTATTCATTAACACTGTGTTTTGTGACATTCAGACCTACTCCTTCTCCTCCTCTTTCTTATTCTGTTTTCCAGTTTCTGCTGAATTACATTTAGTAAAATTATGGTTGTGAAAATATATTTACAATCATCCTTATGGCAAATTTTAAATGTTTTTTTTTTTATTAACAGCATCATCTATTTCATTAATTCTTTTGCTCTGAAAAAGCTGCAAATCCACACTTCTGGAAGGGCCAATATCCCATATATTCCACTTTTCTGACTTTTCTAAAGCATTGTTCTCAAAACACATGGTTAATAATAATGCTAGTATCTTTTTTTGCGCGTGCCCATAGATGTTCATGAGGTCAGAATATAAATAAATTAACTGAAAATACTATTTAGGGGGAAGGTTTCCTGTGAGTCAAATGGCTTTTTTAAAGCCAAGTTGACATTGTATTTCCCCATAAACCTCAGTGATTGATGTCACGGCACCTGATATTCCTGTATTCCATTTAAAGCTTCACCCTCTTCATGTTTATTGATTCCTCCCTTCATATATCTTTATATATTTCGCAAAAAATATTTTAAAATGTTGATGAATCAATTTTTTTGTGAATTTATAAGTGATCTTATGGAAAAAAAAATTGTGTATTTTTTTTTTTTCAAATAATTCCAATGGGACTGTGACACATTTTTTTCCCCGGGCTAAGAGGGTTAAAACCCACATTTAGAGTTATCAATAGAACTATCAGTAAACTGAGCTTGGTTTATTTGAAACAAAGTGACATATTAGCGGCTCTGAAGCTTAGAGTTAGTGAATGCATTAAACATTTTCATAATCCTTAAGTATATTAGGATAAAATTTATGTGGCAAACAGTTTAAAAAAAAATAATTATTGTTTCAGGGTTTTTGGACAGTAGTTCAAGGGTTGCACTGGGAAAAAAATTTGGGGCCTCACCACATAATTCCATAGACAGCAGTGGGTGGGTGCTCTTGCTCTATAGCCAACCTTTAATGTGGAGACGGCACAGATTTTGTTTTTTTCAACATATAATTTATACTCAGGAAAGTGGAAAACAAATATTCAGGTGGAAGACGGTAGTTTATTGGGGAGGAGAATATTAAAATATAGACTGGGAAAGGATGTTAACATGTACTATCAAAAGAATGGTAGACTGTACCATCAAAAATGTTACTCTACTATCAGAAAAAAGGTGGACTGTATTATCAATAAGATGTTAGACTGTACTGTTAAAATGATGTAAAGCAGGGCTGTTCAACTAGTTTTACTCAGAGGGCACAGTTTTGAATATAGGGATTGTTAAGGACCAGAGGCCTGAGACCCAGCATTGTATCAATACAACTGGCACTGATTCGCGGGCCACTTTCTAGGCCTCTGCTGGCCAGATGTGGCCAGAAGGCTGCCAGTTGAATAACCCTGATCTAAAGGATGTTTGACTGTACCATCGATCTGATGTTAGGCTGTACCATCAAAATAATGTTAGGCTGTACCATCAAAATTATGTGAGGCTGTACCATCAAAATGATGTAAGACTGTACCATCAAAATGATGTGAGGCTGAACCGTCAAAATGATGTTAGGCTGTACCATCAAAAAGATGTTAGGCTGAACCATCAATAGGATGTTAGGTTGTACCATGAAAAAGAAAAAAAAAGCTGAACAGTCAAAATGATGTTAGGCAGTACCATCAAAATGATGTGAGGCTGTACCATCAAAATGATGTGAGGCAGTACCATCAAAATGATGTGAGGCTGTACCATCAAAATGATGTGAGGCTGTACCATCAAAATGATGTGAGGCAGTACCATCAAAATGATGTGAGGCTGTACCATCAAAATGATGTGAGGCTGTACCATCAAAATGATGTGAGGCTGTACCATCAAAAAGATGTTAGGCTGAACCATCAAAAGGGATGTTAGGCTGAATCATTAAAAGGATGTTAGGCTGTACCATCAAAAAGTGGCTACAATATGCTGATGTCAGAGATTTGATAATATATATGTAATATACTGATAGAGATTTGATGATGTATATGTAAAATGCTGACATCAGAGATTTGATGATCTATGTGTAATATGCTGACAGATTTGATAATATACATGTAGTATGTTTCATGTCAGAGATTTTATGTTGTACGTGCAATAGGCTGACATAAGATATTCAATGATGTATGTGTAATAGGCTGATATCAGATTTGTTGATGTATATGTAATATGCTGACATCAGAGATTTGTTGATGAATATGTAATATGTTCACATCAGAGATTTGTTGATGTATATGTAATATGTTCACATCAGAGATTTGATGATGTGCATGTAATATGCTGACATCATAAATGTAATGACGTATGTGTAATAGACTGACCTCAGAGATTTGATGCTGTGGCTTTAATATACTCATCAGAGATCTGATGCTGTGGCTTTAATATACTCATCAGAGATCTGATGCTGTGGCTTTAATATACTCATCAGAGATCTGATGCTGTGGCTTTAATATACTCATCAGAGATCTGATGATGTGGTTTTGCTTCCACAGGCCCAGCAGTTGCTACAGATGATCTGCTACCCAAGTGGTGTGCCCAACCAGGTGGAAGGATGTGACCCTGAGAGCAAGCATGTCATACAGAGAGTATTGCAGGTGAGTGTAGAGTAAGTTGTGGTGTGTCAGAATTTGCCACTCTTGAAACCTTTTTCTCCTTTTTTTTTGGTTTAAATTCCTCATCTTCTGCTGCAGAGGGTTATCAGTCTCTACTATCTCAGGTGCTTTGTTAAGGGACATGTGGCAGTTTTCCTTCTCCACAGCTGCAGCATCATCATCATCAGTCGGCAAGTCCTCTACAGAACATCGCTGTCTTCACTGCAGGCCTGAAAGTCTTTTTCTCTATCTAGTTCTCTAGCCCTATGTGCTTTCATAGCTAGTGCATCGTGATTTTTTTTAAAAATCCACAATCGCAGAGGTCTGCCTCTACTTCATTTTCCGGAAACTGCACCCTTCGCCACTTTTCTCTCCAGGCCGCCATGATGCTTAACATGACAGAATACTTCAGCTTTTGGGACAGGATGCTGTGTATGAGCCATTTATCCACAATATACATCTGCAACAGTATGTACACAACCCTCTGCTGACACCTTGCTGTGCCATGACTCAAGTCTGCATATTTCCTGCTATCATTATATGTTCAGTTGTTTAAAAAAAAATCTAATTATGTGGTAAAACATTATGGCTGTCATTTTTATTTTGTTTGTGATACACTGTGTTCATGTCTTAGCCTCGTTTTGATGTCCAAGGAATTAATCATTCTTCTATAAAGTTACATTTCTCAGGTCTTATGGGATTATTTTTTTTTTTTGCTGTTGAATACTTTTGTCCTGTAAAGATTGCAACAAAATCCATATAGCATTAAAGCTGGACAGCAAATAGGTGGTGCCCGACAGTCTCACAAGGAGATGTTTAAAAAAAAATCACCAGGAGTGAGATGTGTTGGAAAGATCAGATTCATTTTAACTCTACCAGATCTCAGTTCCTGAACCTAACTGGGCTCCTGGGCATTGAAGCGAAAAAACCAACTTAATATTAAAAAAATATAAGTTACATGTAAACAAGTGGTTAGAATAAGATGAAAAATGGAGACATTGTAGAGGTTTACCTTTCATCATTTAAATTCAGATCTATCTTATGTGATACAAAATTCCTTGTCCAACCTTCATCACCACCTAGATCTCCCCCATCAGTTTTTTAAGGGGCATTTCACCCCCTCCCCCCTCCCCCTCCCCGCTCTCTTGCTATCGATCTAGCTCTGGATCTATAAGGTTCAAGATTCTCCTCATCGCTCGAGCTCTCACAGTCTGTGTCACTTGAACTGGAAACATATTCTTCTTGAAATTCTGACTTCTCTGAGACTGAATCAACTAAAGTATCGATCACCTGTTGGGCTGTGAGAAGCCTAGCGCTACTTTGCTCTCCTGTTAAAGTGCTTGGCTCATCAGCCACCTCATTGTTAAACCACACAGGTTGTTGCTGGCACCATTGGTATTGGAGCTCTGGCTACACTGGCTGCTGAAGATGGGGACAGTGTGCTTATGGAAATGCCTCAAGTGCTGTGATATCAGCTCTTGAACCACAGTTAAAGGCAAATAGAAGAACAAGGTTGTTAATATGAAGGTCACATGGGCAAAAAAGTCCAGTGCTGTAATTATTTTACTTCTGCCTTTATCATCCAGTGGAGCATGGACCCTCAGTGGGGGCCACATGTGATTGATTGTGTGTGCAACCGCAGAACTGGTGGCGGCCACATGTGATTGATTGTGTGTGCAACCGCAGAACTGGTGGCGGCCACATGTGATTGATTGTGTGTGCAACCGCAGAACTGGTGGGGGCCACATGTGATTGATTGTGTGTGCAACCGCAGAACTGGTGGCGGCCACATGTGATTGATTGTGTGTGCAACCGCAGAACTGGTGGGGGCCACATGTGATTGATTGTGTGTGCAACCGCAGAACTGGTGGGGGCCACATGTGATTGATTGTGTGTGCAACAGCAGAACTGGTGGGGGCCACATGTGATTGATTGTGTGTGCAACCGCAGAACTGGTGGGGGCCACATGTGATTGATTGTGTGTGCAACCGCAGAACTGGTGGGGGCTACATGTGATTGATTGTGTGTGCAACCACAGAACTGGTGGGGGCCACATGTGATTGGTTGTGTGTGCAACCACAGAAATGTTTTAATTACTGTCTTCATAGATGATAAACTGTAATTCAGTGTCAGATTGTTTGTGTTGGCACATCTGATGGCACCTTTAATATATGTGTGTATGTTGTTGACTTGCTGAGACTGAGACAGCAGTCTGTTGTTTCAAGTTTTTCGCAAGGGACAGTGATGGTCATTCACTGTGGTTTTCACTGGCACATAAATGGAGCAACAATCGGATAATCAGTTTGCTGTGAAGTTATAGCTGAAATTTACTGATTAATGTCACCGCATGCAACTCACTCCATGTCCTCCTGTCTTTTTAACTTCGCTCTCAAATTCTCTTTTCTGAATATTTTTGTGTCTGTCTTTATTCGGTTTACTCTGTGGATTCCATTGCAAAGACATTCTAGCTATTTCTTATAAGGTTTCTAAATATGTGTTCTATTTTCTACCGCGTGGTCCACTGAAATTTGTTTACTCATCTTCCAGAGCTCTACATTAGTGATTCTGACGTACCTTTTAATTTTCTCTCTTCAGCATAGACTCCAGTTAAGGAATGCTTGTATTTTAATTAGTTATTGTTTTAATTGTTGTCCATGTGTCAGTTTCATACATCAGTACTGATTTGACATATTAGAGCAAAATATTTCAAGTTTAGTACTTCTTTTAATTTACTTTGATTTAAACTTCAACTGAGTTGTTTGTTGAAAGTAAGATCTGAAGTGGAATCTGACACAAACATGTAAGGAGCTGTGTTACCAATAGATATCAGCTCATTGGAGTTGAGGTAGTATATAGTGGGTTAGTGCGAGGGTTTACGGAGGGAGTAGGAGTTGAATCTTAAATAGCTGTAGGATTTGATGTGCTTTATCAGGAAGAGATGATGTTGAGAAAGAGTGGTAGTAATCATAGCACCTCATGATGCACTGACCTGGTTTGTTTGGGGGCTTAGTATTTCACCATCATGCAATAATACACATTAATGGACTGTTTATACTAACTGTCCTGTTTCAGAGTGTCCTGCCCTACATTGTGGCTTTTAGTTGTTTCAAATTTCTTAAGATTAGAACACCCCCTTCCCCCCTCCCCCACCCTTCAAACCCTTTCCAAGCCCTGTGACCATGTTAACTTCTTCTTTTTGTTAACTTCACCGGCTATAAACTCCCAACAGAATGTTGTTGTTGTTTGTCCACTTCTGGACTCTAGTCATGTTCCTGAAACTCAGTGTTGCATGCACATCCGTTTATAGGTCTGACTCATTTGCATGCAGACTGTTGGTTCCTTGCCTCTCAAGCAGATGTAATTTGAAGTTGACTCTTACGACATGCTTTTGGGCAGGCAGTGGGTCTATTCTTCTTTCCCCTACAATGGGGCCCCTTGTTAACTGTTGAGCAGACACATGTTTGTTTAAAGAACTAGTTTTTGAGTTTCCAACAGATGAAATTAACTAAAAGATAAAAGATTAGACAATACACTTAAATATTGATAGTAGTTCCAAATTTGATAGAGCTAGACTCACCCCATCCAGCTGTTTGGATATGTTAAACCTTAAATGAATACATGTTAAAAAGAACTAGTTTTTGAGTTTCCAACTCACCTAAAATAAATACACATAGAGGAAAAGTAGATGACATATTGAAATATGACAGTGGTTGTTTGTGTTCTGCTCTCTTACATGCTTGTGTTGAATCCAACAGCTGAAGACACTGGTGCATGTGCATGTTTCTGCTTGTTTAACTTGTGAAGGATTTCTTGTGTTCTCAGACCCTTGACCAGTGGACATTGAGAGTCTCCTGGCTGGAGCTACAACTCTTGTTTGAGAGGTCACCCTCACAGTCAGTAAGTGGATTTGTATAATCTAGTTGCCCGGCTCTCTAGCGTAGTTGGCTAAAAAGGATTGTGCAGTGACCGGGTGACGAACTCCTTGTGGTCCGGGTTCACTCTCGGGGGTAGGCAGAAAAGCCACATTTCTCCCAGATTTACTCTATTTACAATGGAATCAAGGCCAAAAGGTTGCGATATCCATAATACCGAGCCTAAGGGTTAACAACTCATGGCTTCTGGATACTAAAACAAACAATACATAATCTAGTTTTTTTGTTTTGATCACTTCAGTACTGTTTACCTTTTTTTAAATTAGTCTCTATAACTCTGTTTCCTTTGTAACAATGTATAAACTACTGTTCTTAGTTCTTCATTGGTGACTTTGTCTCTTCTAGTTTCTCTGGCTGCATTTCCTATACATCTCATATGTTGCGTTTGTGTGTTTTTTGTTTGTAGGTTTGAGGTTTTGAACAATAGATCAACATCGTGGCACACAAGTAGTAATCCTTAAGTGCTCTGTTCTTTTAACTCAAGTCTGAGTCTGAAGAAGCTGAGCACAGTGCACATGCTCTGTAGCACCTGTGAGGATACTTTTGGTCGATTTTTAACTCCAAATTTTGCCCTGGCAATGCCGTTAGGGATATTTTTACATGCACAGCAGTGCACACGGGCATCCGATCTCACTACCCAAAGACCAGGGAGAATTATTAGAAGTCCAAGTTCAGGTGAAAAAATCCCAGCCCTTACCGGGGATTGAACGTGGAACCTCTTGCTCTCAAGGCGGACACCATGCCTCGAGACCATGCAGCCCCTTGGGGTTTGTTTAATGACTGTCCATGTCTGGCAAGGATACCACAGACCTAGGCGGTGTCTCATATTCTCTGAGATTATCAAACTTATTCTGTTTTGTTAGCTGCAGTAGCTCAGAGGCTGAACTGCTTGCCTGGTGACTTGAAGGTTGTGGTTTGAATCTGTATTGACATTTTTTTTTAAAAACAATTGTCCCTGGCTTCGGGTTGACCAAGCCTAAAGAGAGAGATGAAATTTCCCAGGAAGTAATTGTAACCAGTATGATGTTGACCACGTCATTCCTAAGTGCTTTTGGGTCTATAAACATGTATGTCTAGAACCTTATACCCCATGCAAAGATACTATAAGAAATGTCCTTGACTTTACAAACCGTTGACACTAATCCAGAGTCACCTGTGTGCAGTTTTGGCCATTTTTGCTTTGGTGAATTTAATGTTCAGGTCTGGTATTTCTCATTTTAGATTATGCCAGAGGCGCAAATGAATTCCTTCTCCAAATAAGTCAAAATGAAGTACATGGTTTGTACGACTAACGACGAAATTCTGTCTGACTAACAGGTCGTAAGTCAGACTGGCCGATTTTGTATTTTTCAACACAATTTTATTTAAACAGGTTATAAAAATTGTATAGAAAACACAAAACTTTGGTCAGCGTACGTATAATTTTCAATAATGTGAATAACACGTATGTATACTTTGGTGCATCAGTTCCAACATCTTTTTGACCCCACCATTGTAGTTACCTTTCTTTATTTACTATTTCTATTTATTAATTTGTGTGTGGTTGTAAGCACAGTTGGTTGTAAGTCACATAGGTCGCAAGTTGAGAAGGTATGTTACATTTCTTCATGCAACTACACAGTTTTCTTTTGCCACATCAGAAAGAAAATTGATTGTCTTAAACCGGGATTTAGCACTTAAATGACTTGGGTATAGTGGAAGTGATACTGTCTTGTGTTGTTAACATGTAATGACTTGAGTAGAGTGGAAGTGATACTGTCTTGTGTTGTTAACATGTAATGACTTGAGTATAGTGGAAGTGATACTGTCTTGTCTTGTTAACATGAAAGGACTTGAGTATATTGGAAGTGATACTGTCTTGTGTTGTTAACATGAAAGGACTTGAGTATAGTGGAAATGATACTGTCTTGTGTTGTTAACACATAATGACTTGAGTATTGTGGAAGTGATACTGTCTTGTGTTGTTAACATGAAAATACTTGAGTATAGTGAAAGTGATACTGTCTTGGATTGTGAACATATAATGATTTCAATATAGTGGAAGTGATACTGTCTTGTGTTGTGAACATATAATGACTTGAGTAGAATGGAAGTGATACTGTCTTGTGTTGTTAACATGAAATGACCTGAGTAGAGTGGAAGTGATACTGTCTTGTGTTGTGAACATATAATGACTTGAGTAGAATGGAAGTGATACTGTCTTGTGTTGTTAACATGAAAGGACCTGAGTAGAGTGGAAGTGATACTGTCTTGTGTTGTTAACATGTGATGACTTGAGTATAGTGGAAGTGATACTGTCTTGTCTTGTTAACATGAAAGGACTTGAGTATATTGGAAGTGATATTGTCTTGTGTTGTTTACATGTAATGACTTGAGTATAGTAGAAGTGATACTGTCTTGTGTTGTTAACACAAAATGACTTGAGTAGAGTGGAAGTGATACTGTCTTGTGTTGTTAACATGAAAGGACTTGAGTATTGTGGAAGTGATACTGTCTTGTGTTGTTAACATGAAAGGACTTGAGTATAGTGGAAGTGATACTGTCTTGTGTTGTTAACACATAATGACTTGAGTAGAGTGGAAGTGATACTGTCTTGTGTTGTTAACATGAAATACTTGAGTAGAGTGGAAGTGATGCTGTCTTGTGTTGTGAACATATAATGACTTGAGTATTGTGGAAGTGATACTGTCTTGTGTTGTTAACATGAAAGGACTTGAGTGTAGTGGAAGTGATACTGTCTTGTGTTGTTAACATGAAAGGACTTGAGTATAGTGGAAGTGATACTGTCTTGTGTTGTTAACAAACAATGACTTGAGTAGAGTGGAAGTGATACTGTCTTGTGTTGTTAACATGTAATGACTTTAGTATAGTGGAAGTGATACTGTCTTGTGTTGTTAACACGTAATAACTTGAGTATAGTGGAAGTGATACTGTCTTGGGTTGTGACCATATAATGACTTGAGTATAGTGGAAGTGATACTGTCTTGCGTTGTTAACATGTAATAACTTGAGTATAGTGGAAGTGATACTGTCTTGGGTTGTTAATATAAAAGGACTTGAGTATAGTGGAAGTGATACTGTCTTGTGTTGTTAACATGTAATGACTTGAGTAGAGTGGAAGTGATAATGTCTTGTGTTGTTAACATGTAATGACTTGAGTAGAATGGAAGTGATGCTGTCTTGTGTTGTTAATATAAAAGGACTTGAGTAGAGTAGAAGTGATGCTGTCTTGGGTTGTTAACATAAAAGGACTTGAGTAGAGTGGAAGTGATACTGTCTTGTGTTGTTAATATATAATGACTTGAGTAGAGTGGAAGTGATACTGTCTTGTGTTGTTAACATGTAATGGCTTGAGTAGAGTGGAAGTGATACTGTCTTATGTTGTTAACACGTTGAACTATGTGGCTGCTGTCCCTAGGAAACCAATAACCTGCTGGATTTGGTGTCCCGTGGAACTATAGACCTGTTTTATCAGCTGACAGAAAACCAAGGCATGTCGGATGTGCCCATGACCCTGCCGCAGGAGCACAAGTAAGAACTATGTTTATGGGAAACTGTGATAGCATGGTGTCTGGACTAGTATAGTACAGGGGCTGGACTAGTGGTTTTCAACCTTTTTTAGGCAGAAACCCCCTCACCCCCTTGAATATTTTGCATGGACCCCCCCTCCCCCTTCTTTTCCCCATTTTCCTTTACAACTGTAAACAAAATGTTATTAAAGAAAGATAAAGTAGATGTACAGATTACTCTTGAAAGCAAAAACATCCTTTTTTTTTAAATATAATAAACATAAAGGACCCTTCAGGCTTATTTGGCATATGGTGCTAGACCTTTATTTTACAGAACAATCAACACTCGGTGATGTTTTCAGTATCATGCTGGCCACCTTCACCCATCTGTTGACCTAGACTCCTACTGTATGGCTGATAAGGTTTAAATGTCCGTCCATTGACCAAGACTCCTACTGTATGACTGATAAGGTTTAAATATCCGTCCATTGACCTAGACTCCTACTGGATGGCTGATAAGGTTTAAATATCCGTCCATTGACCAAGACTCCTACTGTATGACTGATAAGGTTTAAATGTCCGTCCATTGACCAAGACTCCTACTGGATGGCTGATAAGGTTTAAATATCCGTCCATTGACCAGGACTCCTACTGGATGGCTGATAAGGTTTAAATATCCGTCCATTGACCAGGACTCCTACTGGATGGCTGATAAGGTTTAAATGTCCTTCCATTGACCTAGACTCCTACTGTATGGCTGATAAGGTTTAAATGTCCGTCCATTGAACTAGACTCCTACTGTATGACTGAAAAGGTTTAAATGTCCGTCCATTGACCTAGACTCCTACTGTATGACAGCAAGTGTTGAGATGTCCCTCATTCAAAGATCCTACATTGTAACATCAGACATTCAAACATCCTGTAACAGTGGCCACATTCATTGGAGTGTAGTGATCATACAGTGAAGCCATGCCTGATGCATGCTTCTCATAAATGCCGCGAAAAGTACCAGGGGCAGGGGCTAACGAAAAAGTATCAACAGTTTTTAAACTGAAATATTCTTAGAATACCATGAATGAAGAAGAAGAAAAAAAGACAGACAGCCTACGTGATCTGAGCATTGAGAAGAATTGGCTCATAAACAGCATCCTATCCTGAAAGCTGAGGTATTATGGCCGTGGTAAATATCAGGGTGGCTACAGGAGCACAGTGATGTAGGGTACAGTTTCTGGAAGATGAGGCAGACCTTCATGAATGTGGATGCAAGACATTGACAGTGTATTTGCTGTAAAAGCACATATGGCTGGACAATTGGCTACAGACAGAGAGATTTCCAGGTATGCTGTGATGAGGGAAATGTCCTGTAAAGGACCTCCTGATAGTCAGTATATGCTAAAAGCTGTTGGTTCACACAGAGCACAAACTCTGTTGCTCCAGCACAGTGTTCCTGGAAAACTTCTTCTTCTTCTTCTGTCATCTTACTGATACCAGCTTGTAGCCCAGTGTTGTAGTTTTCTATATTTGTCTCGTGTGGCTTGGGTGATGGATTTGTTCATCTTTTTGCAGCTTGTGGCTACACCATTTATCCATCTCTTTCTTGGTCTTCCTTTCGCCTTCCTCTCAGGTGTTCTACTGTAAAAATTCTCATATGCAGTTTGGTCTGGTTGCATTCTCACAAGATGGCTGTTCCATTTCATTCTTTGTCTGTCAATATAATCCACACATGCTCTTATTCCAACTTCTCACTAGAGCTGGTATTCATAACCCTGTCCCTTCTTGTGGGGTTAGTGACCTTGCGGAGACAGCACATTTCACATGTAGTTTTTTTTCTGGTCTAGTGCCCTATTTATTGTCCATGATTGGCACTGATAACATAAAGTAGGGATAAAGATACTTAATCATTTGCTGTTTTGCTGGAAGGCAGACATTTAGGTGTCTAAGCAGTGGGGCTAACTGGTTGGTGACAGCATTTGCCTTCTGTACTCTGGCTTCTATCTCTCTGAGTCTCATGGAAGATTACACTTGCAAATTGAATGACATGAGTTCAGAACCAGATACACAACCTTCAAAGTGTAAAACAAACAGGTTATTCACTTCACCTTGGAGACACCCACAACATATTTTAACATGTTGCTTTCTTCATAAATCTACCTCTGGGGATTCCACTAAATCTATACTTGAAAATTAAAGTAACGGTTACCCTTGAAGTTCCATTAGTAATGAAATCTCACTGGTAATAAACTCAGAAAGTTGAAAACTATGATGCTTCTTTAAAATGTTGTTATTTATTAATCAGTGAGTGTTTCTTCTAGGCCGAGTTCAGAAAACACAATCTGGTTGGTGGCTCCATTAATTGCCAAGTTGCCAGGAGCAATTCAGGGGCGAGTGCTGAAGCTGGCAGCTCAAGTTCTGGAGAGCGGCAACAATTTGTTTGTCACCACCAAGAACAAACAGGAGAAAGAGAAGAATTTGAAAAGGTGAGACAGACAGCATTTAAGAATCTAAGAAAACTTGAGATTGAGAAGCATATAGCCTGGGCTATATCTCTGTATTTCTTCTTCTGTAATATTTCAAAGACCTAAATGTGAGGTGCCCGTTTACCCAAGGCTGTGATATTTGCACCTTTTGGTCTACTTGATCTATTTCTGCAGGCATTTGTTGCCTAACATATCCTACTTCTGTAGGCATTTGTTACCCAAGTTAGCCTTCTCATCTCTGTGTGCACAGTATTGAATCCTGACCTGATTAAATCTGTATGTGTCACTACAGAGGTAAAGCCACAGTACAAGTCTTGCACACATCGCTAGTAATTAAAGTCTTGTACACATCGCTAGTTTCTGAGCTTGAACTGGTGGAGAAGCCTTGTGAAAAAAAGAAAAAGAAAACACCAGTGGAAATGGTACTGTGATGCCAAGTTGGGAGAAAAGTTTCTACACCAATGTCCCTTCTCTAGATTCCACGCTTTTTCAGGGCTCAGGTGACCCACAAATAACTTAATCTGCTCAGTCCAGAAATACTATGCTATAAAAAATTAGCTTAAAACCTGTGGGAATCGTGGAAGCAAATGATTAGAATAGTCACCAGATGCTTTACACATAACAAATATATTTATCTACACAAAAATTAGAAGAAATATGGGGGGGGGGGGGGGGGGGGGGGGGGGGGGGGAATAAAGGTAAATAAAGAAAGTAAAAAAAATTAAATGGAATGCATTCCATTGAAAAGAAAAAGAAAATCCCATGCTGTAACTCTATGACTTCTATCAATGAGGCTTACATGAAAATTTGACCTCACTTGGCTTCAGAAAAGTCATTTGCTTGAAGGGGAACCCTCCTAAATGCTATTTCTAGTAAATATATTCCCGTCATGACCTCCTAAACTTTTGCACAGTTGGAAAAAATAACTGATAACATTAACTGGGTGTCTCATAAACATGTCACTTCCAGAATGCTGGTTATGCTGTACTCTCAGGGAATTAGAACCTACCAGAAGTGCTGGGTTTATGGTTTCCCGGGCGAAAGGTTTAATAGTTAAGAACCCTTAAAATGACTAACTGTTTAATGCTTTCAGTATCAAAGAAGAACATGAAAATTGAGGTGGAAAAAAGGGAAAAGGGGTTGGGGGAGAAAAGGGGTTTCACTTGGGAAACCAAGTTTTCCAAATATGTTGGGACTAAATGTAGAAGTAAGTAAAACCATGTAATTGTTGGAATTAGATCAGAAATAGCAAATAACACCCACCTTTCTTGGGGCCAAAATATTTAAGACGTTTAATTTTAATTTTTTTTTCCTCAAATTTGTACAGTACATTTCTTAACTTATTTTTTGAGTAACAAATTAGCATATGTGCACTGGAACCTACAGGGGTATAGAAATAAAACAGACGAAAAACATATGAAGAAGGGAGCTAGAGAAGGAAGTTAAAAAGACAGGAAGGACATGGGGTGAGCTGCATGCAATAGGAAAGGATAAGACCACTAGTTGGAGTTGGTTTGCTACAATGGGGGATAAAAAGCAGAAGATGAAGAACAACAGATGTGCATTTTGTCAATTGTTGGCCTAGGACAGGAACAGATAAGCCCTACTCTGATGACAAGTAGTCATTTGCAGCTGGGCAGTCCCATAGCAGCTACTGCCATGTTTTTGAAAGGTTAGACTTTATACATTCTAGGCCAGTGTTCTTCAACTTGTGCTGTGGAAAATTTCCAGTGGGAACACAAATTAGGTTTAGTCGTGTAACGAGGTAGGGTAGGTGTTTTTTTTTCTGGAGGTAGTTTTACTTTTCTGATTTGTATGATTAACACGTCAAGGACTTCCTGTTTGTGTGAAAAGATGCATCCCAAATGGAGAAATCAAATGAATGTTATTGTAGCGCTTTAGGCTGTGTTCACTTCTGAGCTGGGGTGATCATAAAACATTTTGCCACTTCTAGAGATTTGTTAGCGCTGATACAAAAGTGTACTATATACATTTACAGTTTATATTCCAGTAAATCACTTCTAGCAATTTGCAGCATTTATACCAAAGTGTACTATATACATTTACAGTTTATTCTCCAGTAAATCACTTCTAGCAATTTGCAGCATTTATACCAAAGTGTTTTATATACATTTAGTTTATTCTCTTCTCTAGTAAATCACTTCTAGCAATTTGCAGCATTTATACCAAAGTGTTTTATATACATTTACAGTTTATTCTGCAGTGATTTACTTCTGGGGGTTTGCAGTATTGATACTAAAGTGTTAAAAACACTTCTGCAGTTAGTCCCTTCTGGGGATTGCAGTATTTTATGCTTTAAACCAAAAAAAAAATGAAATTTACATGTATTTTTACAAACTGATTCTTCAGTAAGTCACTTCTTGGCCACCAGCCGTTTCTGTCGCTGGTGTTGAGCTGTTTGAAAGGTCAGGATGAACAGCGGGAGTTCTTGCTGAGGTCCCTGCTGAACCAGCTGGAGATGTTCATCAACAATCCCAAAGATGTCATGGTGAGTTCTGATTTACAACTTTTCTTCTGTTGAGCTTTCTAGTCGCAGTTTTTTTTTTTTTTTTTAGTTACTTTGTGATTGGTCATACTTGCTTGAACATTGGAGGAGTCTAAAATCTTGATTCTATATTCTGTGATACTGGCCAATTTAAATGTTAAAACCAACCAATCCTGTTAATACTGACCATTCTCATTGTTAAACTAGCCAGTCTCATTGTTGAGACTAACCAATCTCCTTCTAAATGCTAACAGTCTCATTGTTAACACTAGACAGCCTCATTGCTAACACCAGTCTCATTGTTAATACTAGCCATCGTTAACACTAACCAGTCTTTTTGTTAACACCAGTCCCATTGTTAATACTAGCCATTGTTAACACTAGCCAGTCTCATTGCTAACACTAGTCCCATTGCTAACACCAGTCCCATTGCTAACACCAGTCCACTTGTTAACACTAGACAGTCTCATTGCTAGCATTAGTCTCATTGCTAACACCAGTCCCATTGTTAACACTAGCCAGTCTCATTGCTAACACTAGTCCCATTTCTAACACCAGTCTCATTGTTAATACTAGCCATTGTTAACACTAGCCAGTCCCATTGTTAATACTAACCATTGTTAACACTAGCCAGTCCCATTGCTAACACCAGTCCCATTGTTAATACTGGCCAGTCTTATTGGCCCTCTCTGTCCGGTTGGTGCTGCCAGTTGGTTGTAAGTCAGCCTATACACTCTCTCTCCATCCTCCTCCTGGTCAACTCCCATTCAACTCTTGTGAGTGCTGTGTTTGTCTCTCTGTTATCCGCCATTCTCTGTCTCAATGCCCCAAATATTGCAGTACATTCGCCCTCATGGTGCCAGTAGTGAGTATTGATTCAAACAGTTGATGAATTTTGTTCTTGCTTTCGGTCCTCGTAGTCTGCTGTTTGCGTCCTTGATGGGTTCAAAGATTTGTTATAAGTTTAAAGAAAAAAAGTTAGTTGTGTATCCTTTACAGGACGTTGCAGAACCACTCCAGAATATTTTGGGTGTTGTGGTTTTTCTAGGCAAATCTTTACATTAAGTAGTTTTCCGTTGCTTCTAAACGGTCAGTTCTCAGTACCACTGTCGAAACCAGTTCAAGACGATCTGCATCCAAATCACCTACAGCTGGGATTGAACCCCACACCCTGACTTAAGAAGCATGTTTGCAACACCTAAGCCACAGACGGCGAAAATGTTCTTGTTATATGACTGTTCTGAAAAGTATATGTTGAGCCTTTATCTCTTTTAGTTGTGCTTGAGGTAAGAGATTTGTATTGTACCATCTTAATGCAGCAGTTCCTTTGCAGAATATCACTCTCATTAGAGCCTGCCTGAAAGAAACTTGGTCTCTTGCCAGCTGTTCCACCTGGTGCACTTTCCCACCCAGAGTGTCACTCAATCCTGTGCCCATCTTCAAACTGCTGGGCCCTCTTTCCTGGCACCATGCCTTCTGCTGTTATTATTTCCGTTTTGCCGTGGCATTTGAATGGCCAAAAATATTTCAGTTTCCTAGAGACGATGCTGTTTAGTAGCCAATTTCCATTTATGTTCAGATCTTTTAGAATGTCACTGTTTTATTTCTGCTTGGTTTTATTTTGTACTCATGTTAAATATTGAGCCACTGTTGGTGAACCGTCTTGTATTTTTTTTAATTGTTGTTGAAATTTTTTTTCTTAAATGTTAACACAGGACAAGGTAGCAGAGGACAGCAAGCTTAGACAAAACCTCCATGAGGACCTGCAGCTCAGACTGTCCCTGGTAAGTGCAACATCTGTCTGTCAGGTTGTTAAAACATTCTGTCTCAGGTTTGTAACCATTTTTCTGTCTGTCAGGTTTTGAATGATATTCTGTCTGTCAGGTGTTTGAGACCTTTTATCAGGTTTTTAACAGTCTTCTGTCTATCATTAAAAAAAAATTTTTTTTTTTAAACAATCTTCCATCTGTCAGATTTGTAATGATCTTCTATCAGCAAAGTTTTTAATGATATTCTGTCTGTTAGGTTTTTAACAGTCTATCCCCTAATTTGTGTTACAGGCGTCCAGTTTGGGTAAAAGAGTAGACCGATTCCCCCTGATTATCATAATTTACAAGGTGACTAATTAGAAGTTTGCGGAAAATAGACGTGTTGGGCTGAAAGTCAGTTGGGCTGAAATGAAAGGCACAGATATTGCAGCCTAGCTGTAAACCACACAAATATTTTGTGTATTTGTAGTACACCTTTGTAGAAGAGAAAATATAGATCATGGATATTTAGCTTGACCACGTCAAACAGATTTCATTATCAGAACTGCTGCGAATTATTTTTTCTTCTGCTCTTTATTTCTTATTTTTTTCCCTAAAATTTACCGGCTGTAAACTCTGGCCTAAAGTTCTGGTTGTTTATTCACTTCTTGACTTCTGTTTTGTTCCAGAACTTGAGTATTGCATACGCATCCTTTTTACAGATCTGCCTTATTTGTATGCAGACTGATAGTTCCTCGTTTCTCCGGCAGAAGTACACGAAACTTCGAAGGAAACAATCTAAATAACTCGCCTTATACAACATGCTTGTTAAGGGAGTAGTAGATCTATCCCCCCCCCCCCCCCCCCCACCTATAACCACAACAATCAACAACAACATATTGTTTCCTGGAAACCACATGGGAAGCTCTTTATTTAATTTCAGTTGTTTTTTACCATAAAAAAATTGTCCTAGTAAAACCATAAAAAGCCAATGCATGCTGGAGGTTGGTGTGTGCATTCTTAAAGAACATGCAGCTAACTTGAAGAAAAAAATATAAAAAATTAACCAAGAGCCCTGGTGACCTATGGGAGCCACAGTGATCTAGTGGCTTGATGCATACTAGGCGGTGAGGTCTAGGGTTCAAAACTTTATCAGAATGTATTTTCTTGTCACAAGTTATCTTTTAGGATGCCATAATTTCTTTTTCTTTGTGCCTTATGTGCTGTATGCCATGTCCCAAATGTGTGGAAAGGTTTCTTGGAAGTTTGAAAAACAGATTAACATTATGGCACACAGGTAGTAACCAATAAGCGCTCTCTTCTTTTCATCTAACACAAGTCTGAGTCCAAAGAAGCTCAGCACAGTGCACAAGTTCTGTAGCACTGGCGAGGACCCTGAAATACTTTGGGTAGATTTTAAACCGATTTTTTTGCCCGGGCAGCGCAGTTAGGCTACTCTTTTTTATTTCCAACTGCCAAGGGATTTTTAAAGCGCGCAACAATGCACATGGGCATCTGATCTCACTACCCAGAGACCAGGGGAAATACTAGAATTGAACTTGGAACCTCAAGCACTCAAGGTGGACACCATGCCTCGAGACCATGCAGCCCTCCAAGGTTTCCTTGCTTGCTTACTCACATGATCGCCTTTTGGTTAGTATGCTTGCCTGCCAAGATAATAGTTCAGGTTTAGTTTCCTCATCAGAGGCAGGATTCGTTTTCTCTACCAATATGCCCCCCCCCCCCTCCCCCCCACCACACAACCACACACACGCACGCGCGCACACACACACACGCACGCACACACTCACACACATGCCGCGCACACACACAGATGGGAGCCATTTCCTAAAAGTGGTGGCTGTGCCCTAAAACTGTGTGCCATGATCTAAAAAAAAAATGAGTGCCAGACATTTTCCCAAATTTTTCTAGAAGTTGTATGTGAATAAAAGACATTGCCCCCGTGTGGGTTCCGGGGCCCCATTGTGGGGAAAACAAGAAAAGACCCACTGCCTCCCCAATAGCATGTCGTAAGAGTCGACTAATTGGGGAGCTTCCTTTGAAGTCAGAGTGCATCTGCCGGAGAGGCAAGGAACCAACAGTCTGTATTCAAGAGAATGAGATCTGTAAAACTGATGCACATGCAACACTCAGGTTCTGGAGCAGGACTGCAGTTCAGTAGCGGACGAGCAACCAGAACTTTCCGCCAGAGTGTACAGCTGGTGAACGCGAAGAAGAAGAAGAAAAGACATTGGTTAGAGAACCGGTCACACCCACTCATCTGACAAAATGCTTGATGGCCTATCTTTTCGTATCATACGCCTCTATGACTGTCTTCAGCTTTTATTAATTGTAAACTTTGTTTTCAGGTGGGCGGTATGTTTGACATGATACAGCGGAATAATGCTGCAACTAGTGACTGGGCACTGATCCTTGTCCAGCTGGTCAGTCATGAGGTCATAGAATGTCAGGTTAACAGGTGGGTATTTTAGTTTCTTCTTCTTCTTCTTCTTCTTCTTCTTCTTCTTCTTCTTCTTCTTCTTCTTCTTCTTCTCCTCCTCCTCCTCCTCCTCCTCCTCCTCCTTCTTCTTCTTCTTCTTTTCCTCTTCCTCCTCCTCTTTTTTTTTCTGTTCTTCTTCCTCTTCCATTTTTTCTTCCTCCTCTTCCTCTCATGTTGACCGTACAAAAAATGGGTACCAGGATATGTTCTGGGAAGTAAAGGCAGCCGCATGATGTTGACCACATCAACCTTTGAGAACTGACTGGTCTATAAAAACCTAAGTCCAGCACCTTATGCCCAAACAGCACTGACATCATTTTTTTTATTGACGTTCTTTACTTGAAACCATTTCTGGTGTAGTGTTATGACCATTTATGACTTGTGTATGTCCCCAGTGAACTATTTCTGACCATAGTGGACATGTTGTCAGTCCTTATTCATGGAACCTTGCTGTCTGAAGGACAGGAGAAAGGAGATGAGAACCGAAAGTCCTACTTTAACCTGATCAAGAAAGTTAGGGTAAGTTCCCTCACAGTTTTATTCATGTGTGTTGATGAATTTTTTAAGAATGTATGTTCCCTGTATGGGTTCCGGGCGCTCTGTTGTAGGGAAAACAAGAATAGACCCACTGTCTATCCAAAAGCATGTCGTAATAGTCGACTAATTGGGAGCTTCCTTCAAAGTGGGGGTGCATCTGCCTGAGAGGCAAGGAACCAGCAGCCTGCATACATATGAGTCAGATCTGTAAAACGGGTGCACACAGAACACTCAGGTTCTGGAACAGGAGTGGATGAACAACCAGAACTTTCTGCCAGAGTTTACAGCTGGTGAACGCCAAGAAAAAGAACAAGAAGAAGAATAATGTATGTATTATATAAGATATATTAACAAGTGTAATCGGAAGGTATTCGAACGATTATGTTGATGTAATTAGAGGATATTACAATTGATTCTGTTGATAAACATAATTGAAGAAATTTATAAACAATTATGTTTACTTATAATCTCAGGGTATTATAACAAATTGTTATGGTAAACAGAGAGTATTATAATAGATTGTATTGAAAGAAGTAATCAGAGGGTATGATAGCAATTTCTGTTTTTAAATCATTTATTTGAAAAATGTATTAACAATCATGTTGACTTATAATCTCCAGGTATTAAAGCAATTTCTTGAGTAGGTATAAACAGAAAGTAGTGAAATAGATTATGATGAAGGTATTCTAATAGATTCTGTTGGCAAAAGTAATAATAGTAGATTATAAACAAATGTGTTGACCTATTATACAAGGGTATTATAACATTCTTTTAGTACATAGAAACAGAGTGGTGGAATAGATTAAGTTGATAGATGTAAATGGAGGAATTCAACCACATTCAGCCTTTTGAGCAAAGCCTTGATTATAAATGAAGGATTGCTTTCTTTGTACCATGTTTAATGGCTTGTTTTCCATGATTCCTGTTGTCTACCTTTGCTGTCTGAAATGTTATAGATGTAAACAGAGTATATTGTTACAGATTTTCTTGATGGGTGTCATCAAGAGTATAATGCAAAGTTATCTTTATTGAAGTAATCAGAGAGTATAATGCAAAGTTATGTTGATGGAGACAGAATAATGCAAAGTTATGTTGAGTGATGTAATCAGAGAGTATAATGCCAAAGTTATGTTCATTGGTGTAATCAGAAAGTATAATGCAAAGTTATGTTGATAGGAGCAGAGAGAATAATGCAAAGCTATGTTGAGTGATGTAATCAGAGAGTATAATGCAAAGTTATGTTGACTAATGTAATCAGAAAGTATAATGCAAAGTTATGTTAATTTATGTAATCAAAGAGTGTAATGCAAAGTTATGTTTATTTGTGTAATCAGAGAGTATAATGCAAAGTTATGTTAATTGATGTAATCAAAGAGTGTAATGCAAAGTTATTATGTTTATTTGTGTAATCAGAGAGTATAACGCAAAGTTATGTTAATTGATGTAATCATAGAGTGTAAGCAAAATTAGGTTAATGGATGTAATCAGAATGTAATGCAGAATTCTTTTGATAGATGTAACCAGAAAGTATATTACACAATTCTGTGGATAGATGTAATCAAAGAGTACAGTGCAGTTTTTAATTATGATGTCTACATCATACAGTAATGTTAAATACACATCTAAATGTAACTGATCACATGGTTATAAGAGTATTGTTATTGTTATCATATAGAATCACAAGTGCTTTGTAAGTATTTGACAATATTTCTCCACTAATTATCTCACTTAAAAGCTTTGTTGAGAAATGTTTACACTTATCTTTGTTAGACTAAAACACTGGCAGGATGAAAGTCATTATGAATATCATTATAACACAATCTCAGGTGGGAGTTTGAAATAGCAGCTGTATGTACTGTCTCTGAAAGGAAAAAGGTCCCATTACACACATGGTGCATTGGGCAATTGGGGCCAAACAGTACTTATCATGAACTTGCCTGCTGTGCGAGAATTCATTTCCCTCAAAGAGACTAATGACAACACAACCTTCCACGAACATTATGCCTCTGATAAAAAGTCGGGAGATGTGAACCAGCCTCATTGCACACGGTTGTGAAACCTAAGTGCTCTGCAACTAGTACGGACAGCTGATAAGAAACTGTCTGCCTGTGTCACCATCCGCATGCAGCTCTGTAGCTACAGCGACGTTCCTCCATTCACCCCAGAGTGTCAACTGTGGTACCTATTACCTAGAGGCTGGGTGAACCCCGGGAACCGCCCGGTTTCGAACACCGAATGTGGACTGCACCGAGTGACAGCTGGATTTGAAAGTGAGCCTCCTATCGACTGCGCTAGCGCGGCCAGCCGCTACATGAATGGAAGGGGAAGCAACTCTCACCATGCTGGCAAGCTCATGAGAAGTTCTGGCTAAACTCATATTTTTATTGTTATCGACTGGTCGGCCCTCGGTGGGTGATGTGGTTAACATCATGCTGGCCGCCTTTACTTCCAAGACTTGACCTTGTACCCATTTAAGGCTGGATCAACCTGGGGTATTTACTGGCTCTGTTGCATTTTTCTTAATGCCCATTTAACACTGCAACTAGAAGATTTGACACCCAGTGACTCAAAGAGCTGCTTGTTGAATGATTATCCAAAAAGAACAAATCATAATGACCAAAACAGTTATACCGGGGCACACTCAGTTACACTAAGAATTACCATAGTGTAACCTGCTGTCAAATTAAGAAGAGTTTGGAAGCAGCTGAGATGTGGTTCTTGAGTAGACCGTTGCGAATGCCTAGGCTTGCCAGAATAACCTACAATGATCGCTCTGAAATTGTTGTTGAAAGTAGAACATTATATACAACAATAAGAAGGAGACAAAGTTCTTTGGTCATGTTATAAAAAAAAGCAGCACTGAAAAATATCGGGACGACTTAAAACGTCACTGGTAGCAGGGGCAGACCAAGAAAGATTTTGGTAGATGGCTTGACACAGTGGCATTGAGGAATATCATCAGTGGAATTGAACCAGAACACCCAAAGACTGAGATCTGTGGAGATGCTTGAATGCCTACCCCAGCTAGCAAGGCACTTGATGATGTTGAACCTACTGTCTGGTATGGGTGGGAAATACAGATCAGAAAGTTTGTCTTCTTCTTTACTTCCTCTTGTACCATTTCAAGTGTCAAGGGAGATAAGAGATTCTGGTTTTTGTTCTTCTGGCCTCCTTGACCACAGAATCATTGTGCTGTTGTAGAGATTCTCTAAAGTCATCTTTCCATCTTGTTCTTGATCTACCCTTTGCTCTACATCCCTCTTCTCTTTTGGTGTATGTTTTGTATGATATGTCACCAAAGGGCATTCTCTCTATGTGGGCATACCATTATATTTGCTGTCTTTTATGTCATTTATCATTTGTTCTGTCCCAACTTTATCTTTTATGACCTCATTCCTGATTTTATCACTCCTGCAGCCTCTTTCAGACATCTAATTTCAATGCTTACTGATTTTCCTTTCTGATTTGTCATGAGTGACCATTTCTGGAACTGGTAGTATAGTTTTGGAATGCATATGCTATGTATGAGATGTTTCTTTGTGCTGACCTGAATTGTCTTATGCTGTCCTAGTTCTTGGACTGCTTTACTGCACAGGATGTTAATTTCTTCATCCAATTTATCATCTTCAGTAAATGTTGTTCCCCGATATTTGTACTCAAATACCTGTTTAATACCTTTGCACTCTACTGCTGTAGGTTTTTTCTTCTCCATATCGGCATTACTTATGTCTTTTCATTGTTGATTCTCATATTATTTGATTTTGCATTTTCATGGCTGTATCAGATATCAAGGCCTGGTCATCAGCATAGAGTAGTTTGTTGATTTTACTAATATTTAGCATCTTTGCTTATACTGTCAGTGTGGGAAATAAACAATAGTGGTGATAACACACATCACTGTCTTACTGCAGATGCTACTATAACCACTACACAGTTTGCCAACCACACTTTTATGGACACATACAGAAGCTGCAAGAGCAGTACTTCAAGTACTCAAATCTGGAAAATGATCTGGTTTGCGGAAACTCCTTTTCAAACTAGGCAATCAATATAGGGTAACTAAGCAATGGATGCCATCCCACTTTGGAGTTCCTGGAAATGGAAGAGCTGGTAAACTAGCTAAGGAAAATGGAAATGAAGAGCAACCTGATGTAACAGTCCCATTGGAATGCCCAATGTGCAAAGACGTCAATTGTGATAACATAACATAACAGTCTCTTATCAACAGAAGAAGATAATAATCAATTAAAAAGCCACCAGAACCTGCGAAAAATGATTACCATATAATGGACAGACTAGAGCAAATCATTTTTCTATGCCTTAGAACAGGACACAGTCGACTTCGTAGCCACATGTACACAATTTAAGAATGGCGAATCAGCCATGTGTACCTATGGATTAGCACCTGAGAGAACAGTCACGTCCTCCAAGACTGTCCCAGATACAAACATTTCAAGGCAAAACTCGTGGCTAAGAGAAACACCACTGCAAGCCAAACTTTACGGGTCACTGAGTGAATTAAAACAGACATTGAAGAGACAAAATTGCAGATGTAAATAACCTGTTTCAAGCGAACAAAAGAAGAAATACAGAAAAAGAAATTGGTATCCAGCAGGAGCTTGCTGTGAGTGATAGCCTCTTATCATTATCTTGTTCTAACTCTATAGCTTATCAAGTGATGATGCCAGTTGCAGTGTGTCACAGTTGTACAGTGTTACGTCAGTTCATCATTGAATCAGCATGGGCTTTGTGGTTCAGCTTTTATAGTGAATTTAATTGTGTATAACACAAGTTATTCTTAGTAAAAGTAGTAAAGTAAAGATCCCTTTTCACGCCTTTCGGCGTATCCAGCATATGGGAAAAGCACCCATATTTTTTACAGACCATTGGCACTAGGTGGATAATGTGGTTAGCATTACGCCTGCCGTATTTACTTTCCCAGTTACTTCCCCAGGACAGCCATCCGGGTACTCATTTTAGGC